ATCCTTGTCTCGTTCATCCAACTCGTTCTCGTATCATACGTGTATCGTTCTCGTATCATACGCGTATCGTTCTCGTATCATACGCGTATCGTTCTCGTATCATACGTGTATCGTTCTCGTATCATACGTGTATCGTTCTCGTATCATACGTGTATCGTCCCTCGTATCATACGTGTATCGTTCTCGTATCATACGTGTATCGTTCTCGTATCATACGTGTATCATTCTCGTATCATACGTGTATCGTTCTCGTATCATACGTGTATCGTTCTCGTATCATACGTGTATCGTTCTCGTATCATACGCCTGCCAATCACAATTGAGAAAGGAGAGCGTTTTTACAAAAAGATGATTTGGCCTAACTTTCTAACTTTTCCTACTTTACAATTCACGTATTAATCGGAAAAATTCTCTGTATTACTTTACACCAATTAAGACACAAGTTATTATCTTAGATGTTGAAACTATCATGAATTCAGAGTTGGTAGCCATGCTTAACTCTTGATGTTGGTAAAACTGAATTCATGGAAATCAACTCAAAACAAAAGCTAAATAGAAGAAAAGTCTCTAAAAGTAACATTAAAGTCGATAAAAAATATTACACAGGTTTTAGAAAGTATAACATTATCCTGGATTTTTTTCGTATCTTTGACGTAACGTTATCGTATCATACATTTGAGAAACGTGAGCGTTACCTTACCTGTTAAATCATCGGTAAGAATTTGACAGATTGTGCTACTAATCATTTCCATAGTTTACGAAGACACCACGAAGCATTAGTCGGCATTCAATAATAAACACACTTACATTGTAACACTTAAATAGTCCGTGGCGATGACGTTTTTTGTTTGCATTCCGGGATATGTTCAATTCCATGCTGAGAAAAATTTCGGCTGAGGACATTTTAGCTACAAGTATTTCCGTTATACACGGATGGGGGAAATATCGAAGGAAATTCTTTGTCCGTAACTTCTCTACCCCTAAATCGACCAAGTCTTCCGTCCACCAAGTCCCGCTGCTCTTCGACGGTCATTTCCAACACTTTCATCAACTACTTCATCAAAGAAAATCAAAAGACCACCATCAAAAAAGATAAAGAAACATTGTATTGTTCACAAAGATTGTAAAATCACATCTATATTATTTTTCCATAACCAATAAATGTTTTATACATCAATTTAATAGTCAATTTCCTAGACAAAAAATGTGAGAGATCCTTCTTGATGAGAAGAAATCCACGAAAGATTTCATGGACTGTCCTTTACCGTAGAAAACACAAAAAGGGCTCAGTTGAAGAGGTCTCCAAAAAGAGAACGAGACGAAATGTTAGATTTTGAGAAAATTGATTATTTTGATGATTTAAAAACATTTAGAGCTGCTAAAGATAAAATCAGGCAAAAGAAGGAGGCTAAAAAGATGACAAAGGTATGTAAAGGTTATACCAATTACTCAACTATTGTAAAGTAAACTAGGTTGGCTTTCTCAGTGGAATTTGCTGTTGATAAACTGCTTTGAACAAAAATTTTCTGTTCAAACATTGAAATTAATATTTATTAAAAACTTTGACTGTTTGTTTGTGTGTGGGCTATTTGTATGACAAACTTTTCATGACTAACTTTGGGCAAAATTATGACACATATTGTGAATTTAATTCCCACCCAAGCAAGTGATAAATTTCTTTATGAAGTTCAATATTTATCATAAGTTTTCAATGATTCTATGAATCGTTGTCACTTTATATTCTGTATCATAAAATAGAAACAGTTTAACGTATGCAGTTAGTCTATAGCTGTGTTTGCAAACCATTCAAAGCTCAACCAATTAAAATCAATCAAAGAGAATTTGCAAATCAATCATGAATACATTTAGAGGAAGAATTAAAACTTTTGTTTAAATTTGTCTGTTTGCATTATTGTTATTTTATAAAAGAACTAAAAGATGTTTTTCATATTTGCACTGGCTTATGCAAACCTCAGAGACATTTGTGAGCAACCAAGCATGTGCAACCATTGACGTTTGGTCTTGTGCTTGCAATGATCTGATCTTAATTTCTTGCAAGATCTCCTTGGTTTGCATTCACTTGTGGAAAACAGTAAACATCTTTTATTTACTTCTTACATGAAGTAAACCATTCTTACTAAGATATCTCAATAACACTCATCATTTATTCAAGGCCGCACAACAACCAGTGAAGACAAAAGCTCCAACAAAACAAAAAGGTGGAAGAAGTACAGGTCGTGTTGGTGGAAAACGTTGAATGTAAATTATCACGCATTTTACTATAATAAATGGTCATGGTTTAATGGTATTTGCATTTTTTTCGTTTTATGTTTTAATTCATGCTTCATTGTTCAATATTGTGTAATCTGGTTGTGAATTAAGGATGAAAATTTGAATCACAATTTCAGATGTGAAATATAACCTCCCTCTACCCTCGTAATCCCCACCTAAACCTTCCCCTACCCCCTATCTGCCGAACAAATCAAACTGATCAAATCTTCACTTGTTTCATACAAGGCTAGTACCACTAAAACTAAACATTTAACTTGTAGAATGATCAAATCTTCACTTGTTTCATACAAGGCTGGTATTACTAAAACTAAACATTTAACTTGTAGACTTATCAAAATCTTCACTTGTTTCATACAAGGCTGGTACCATTAAAACTAAACATTTAACTTGTAGACCTATCAAAATCTTCACTTGTTTCATACAAGTCTGGTACCACTAAAACTAAACATTTAACTTGTAGAATGTATATTTTGGTTAACAAATGTTGCGTGAAAGCATGAAAATATATTGAAACTTACCCTTTGTATCTACAGGGTGCATGCAAAATGCAACCCATTGAAATCAGCAGACGTTTAGCATATGCATGATTCAGCCGTAATCAACCTCCAATGAGACAGAAACGTAATTGTAACGATAACACGAAAGGATTTAATGATTGGCATTTTCAATGTGCTGTAGTCAACATGCAAACGACTGCAATTTAGCACAGTAAATACTTAGTAGCGAGAGACTTGCCGAGCGGAAATGGAATTCGTGTAATAAAAATTAATGCCCAATATAAAGTTTTAATTAGAGCCATAGAAATAGACCAAAAACTACAATTTTTAAAAAATATTTTTGCACAACAGAAAGTAAAATCTTTGTAATTCAATAGTTCGTGGTAAATTTGTAATATCATCATAAACGTGAGCACGTTATTTTTTGCAACTCTCCATTGTCTGAAGGGTTCATTCCAAGTGTAAAGTATAGTGAAGTAAGTTAACTGACTGTAAAATTCTAATTTCGTCGTGGATATGCAATTTGAGAGAGAGCGTACAGACAGTAGAGAAAGACAAAGATCTGAGTCTTTTGACTGATTTTACACAATTCATCTTATTCACCTTGAAAGCAAAGAATAGAACCTTGTATAATATAGTTAGCATAATTAAGGTATATATAAATAGTTGGTATAAATAAGGTATGTATAATAGCTAGTTATGAGGGAAGCTCGTGTAAATAAGAGAGCATTTCTCAAGTAAAAATGCTTCTTTAGTCATCCTGGACTGAATAATATATTACACCTTGGAAGCTCACTAAAAATATTTTTTAAAGTTTTTGAATGTCGTGTATATTTTATATCGTTAATACAGCGTCCATTCAAGGCTATCCACATGTACACAGTGCGTATCTATTTTAGCCACAAGTATCACAGGCTTGCGTTTTCGCTACAAGTATTTCCGTCATACACCCATTTTCATCAGTGTAATTCAACTTTAAACAATTCAAGTATTCCCGCAGTAATCGACCTGAGAAATTGCTTTCCTCTGGTAACAAACAACGGAGTTTCATAGGCTCACCATCATATTTCATTAATGGTACTCCTTCATTATTTTCTGCCATCACAAGTTCTATAAAGTGACCATGATGATAACCAATCAGAAGAGGAGTTTTGATACAATCCACCGAGTCTGATAACAGTGGTAGGTATATGCCACCAAGGTTCACACCAGCTATTTGCTCATCATAGTCGTCACGATGAGAATTGTCACATATCACCAGAATTGGTCTTCGAAGAATATTAGCTAAGGCAAATATATGAATCTCCTCAAGACAGTAAAAACTGTTGTGTGTAGTTGATTTCGCTGTAGTTGGAAGAGTGACTGTTTTCTTCCAGTCTTCGCTCCATTGCCCTACACCAAAATCCATTGGGATACCAGCATTTTGATGCTCCAACTCCCTGTCGACTTCGGATTGCCACCGTTTTTGATAGATGCCTAAAATGAAGTTAAAATGAATAAACGCATTAGCTGGGCTTCTCGGCGGGTAGGTCACAAATTTCATTTAAAGTGGTTCTATGACGAAAACTTAACATTAAAAAATCATCGATTTTAGCATTCAATAGTTTAAACACATGTCAATTATTGCTTTCGTAAAATGTAAGCAAAAATAATAATATAACGAGGGAGTTATGAACATTTGAAATGTGTAATTTTCATGTCCGCCATTAATATCGGCTGTTTTGAATATTTGCAATCGGCAAAGTCTGTGACGTCATAGTCTTAACACAGCAAGAAGCGCACATTGGAAAGTATACAAAGTAATACATAAATAGAACAAAAAATGTCAAATTCATCGAGATCTAGTTCGCTCTCTGAGTCTTCGATCGAGACAAACGCATCGATTTCTTCATTGGAATTTGTGACGGCAAATTCGAACGAATCTAATTCGGAAATTTTGCCATTTGTCAATAATATTGAACCGCTTGCTTCGCCCGATGAAATTGCTGAGTACGAAGCTGCAGTCGCAGAAGAACGGCGGGTTGAAGACATGTTGCAAGATCGTTTTGATGCCCGTGTTGATGTTACTTCATGGTAAGATGTCATTCTTAGTGTGTTACTTTGATCTGAATCGTCTGCCGTTAGCTATGATAACTTTATGGAAACATACAATTTGGCCAATATTAAAGGTGTGAATGTGGCCATTGTTCGTTGGACTTGTTGTCACCCTCAAGAGTGCCGATGCTGCATGGAAATAGAGCAATGCCGTGGTAAAATGTATCAGTTCGAAATCGATGAAAGGAAATGCATTTTGGATCATCCTGGCTTTAAAGTGGTACTATGACGAAAATTTTGCCTCTCGTTTTTTTTTTCATAGATTAATAGTGTATGTAAAAAATTCTCTTCTGGCGAAATTTTAGCGCAATGTATTTCATGCTGCTCAAGTTACGTAGCGATAAAACTTGAACTTTAAGAGCCGCCATTAAAATGCGCCATATTTGAATTTTCAAGAAGGAAGGTGCCTGTGACGTCATAGTCTTAACTCGCGGCTGTTTACAATATAACACTATATACAAATAGAGATTTAAAAGGTTGTATAACTCAATTTTTTTAACCTGCCCTCAACACGCTGTGTCGTGCAAGATTGCAGTAATAAGTCTGATAGAAGTACAGGCATTTCATTTCATAAATGCCCAAACGACGAGTCTTTGAGAAGAATTTGGGTTAAATTTGTTCAGACGAAGCGCGCAAACTTTAATCCGAGTTCGCGCGAAATTCGATTTATGATTTGTTTGAATCACTTCTCGGATGATTGTTTTGAGCGTTTATTCCATTTGGGTGGTATGACTAGACGGCTCAAACCTGGTGCCGTACCTACTATTTGGAAGAAATCACAAACAACAACAACGTCAAGAGAGCGGCGTCAGGTTAGCACAAGTTGCAATTATTATATACTTACATATATTGCAAATGATAAATTTACACAATTTAAGAGAACCAATAATACATCCAGGCAAACTTTCAATATATAATATACATTTATACTAAGGTTTTAAAGGAAATACAAAATGCAGTGTCTGGAATCATGCGATGACCTTTGGTCTTTAAACCTAACGAAGCTGCTTGAAGAACAAATTCGTTCAGGCAAACTTCGTTAAAGCCAGGGTGATCCAAAATGCATTTCCTTTCATCGATTTCGAACTGATACATTTTACCACGGCATTGCTCTATTTCCATGCAGCATCGGCACTCTTGAGGGTTGACAACAAGATCCAACGAACAATGGCCACATTCACACCTTTAATATTGGCCAAATTGTATGTTTCCATAAAGTTATCATAGCTAACGGCAGACGATTCAGATCAAAGTAACACACTAAGAATGACATCTTACCATGAAGTAACATCAACACGGGCATCAAAACGATATTGCAGCATGTCTTCAACCCGCCGTTCTTCTGCGACTGTAGCTTCGTACTCAGCAATTTCATCGGGCGAAGCAAGCGGTTCAATATTATCGACAAATGGCAAAATTTCCGAATTAGATTCGTTCGAATTTGCCGTCACAAATTCCGATGAAGAAATCGATGCGTTTGTCTCGATCGAAGACTCAGAGAGCGAGCTAGACCTCGATGAATTTGACATTTTTTTGCTCAATTTATGTATTACTTAGTATACTTTCCAATGTGCGCTTCTTACCGTGTTAAGACTATGACGTCACAGACCTTTGCTGATTGCAAATATTCAAAATGGCCGATTTTAATGGCGGACATGAAAATTAGACATTTCAAATGTTCATAACTCCCTCGTTATGTTATTATTTTTGCTTACATTTTACGAATGCAATAATTGATATGTGTTTAAACTATTGAATGCTAAAATCGATGATTTTTTAACGCTTAGTTTTCGTCATAGAACCACTTTAACGAAGTTTGCCTGAACGAATTTGTTCTTCAAGCAGCTTCGTTAGGTTTAAAGACCAAAGGTCATCGCATGATACAGACACTTCATTTTGTATTTCCTTTAAAACCTTAGTATAAATGTATATTATACATTGAAAGTCTGCCTGGATGTATTATTGGTTCTCTCAAATTGTGAAAATTTATCATCTGCAATATGTGTAAGTATATAATAATTGCAACTTGTGCTAACCTGACGCCGCTCCCTTGACGTTGTTGGTGTTTGTGATTTCTTCCAAATAGTAGGTACGGCACCAGGTTTGAGCCGTCTAGTCATACCACCCAAATGGAATAAACGCTCAAAACAATCATCCGAGAAGTGATTCGAACAAATCATAAATCGAATTTCGCGCGAACTCGGATTAAAGTTTGCGCGCTTCGTCTGAACATATTTAACCCAAATTCTTCTCAAAGACTCGTCGTTTGGGCATTTATGAAATGAAATGCCTGTACTTCTATCAGACTTATTACTGCAATCTTGCACGACACAGCGTGTTGAAGGCATGTTAAAAAAATTGAGTTATACAACCTTTTAAATCTCTATTTGTATATAGTGTTATATTGTAAACAGCCGCGAGTAAAGACTATGACGTCACAAGCACCTTGAAAATTCAAATATGGCGCATTTTAATGGCGGCTCTTAAAGTTCAAGTTTTTTATCGCTACGTAACTCGAGCAGCATGAAATATATTGCACTAAAATTTCGCCAGAAGAGATTTTTTTACATACGCTATTAATCCAGGAAAAAAAAATCGAGAGGCAAAATTTTCGTCATTGTACCAATTTAAGGTGCTAAACCCTATAGCAGTACCAGGTAACTCTGTTCCATTGAAACAGCAAGAAACATCATTAAGCGCACAAGCTTAAGTGAGCAACATTTCAAACCTGTTTGATCTTCTGTAAGAATTTGACGTATTATTTGTCTTAGCCTCATTGAACGTTCATGAATTGTACAAACACCAAGATAAGGAATAATTATCTCTAATAATGTACACCAGTTAACACACAATGTATTTTCCAACACATTAGCAAAAGCTGTTTGTACCAAAGCAGCGATGAAATATTCGCGAAGACCATTGGTGAAGCCTAACATTGTCGTCATTCGCAAGTATTTTATGAGTCAGATTTCTTTGTTCGGTTCTCGTAACTCTTTAATCAACTTGTTGTTGAATAAGTCGACATGCAAGAATGAACACACTTACAGTGTTACATTGAAATAGTCCTGGATATTACGTGGGCAAAAGTTTTTTCATTTGGAAGTTTACGGAAAGCCTCGGACTAACTCGGACATCCCGGCAGTTGTCGAAAACATTTGAAATTACTCGGAAATTACCGTTGTTTTGAAAGAATTGTCAGGCTACGAAGATTGCTCTTTCATTGAACTATGATTTATCTATACTTTCTTTATGAATATGAAGAAAATACAAAAATTCATAAAATTTTGAAAAGTTCACAAAAAGTTCACCAACTTTTAATGTTCATGAAATGTAAATGAAAAGAGCAAAAAGTTCACAAATCTGTGAACTTTGTTCACCATCTGGCAACATTTTCGGAATGGTACTCAGAAACCAATTTTATTTGTGAACGGAGATGGAACACGGACACGTGCATTCCACCACCAAATAAGGCAATATCATGGCCGCAACACTTGCATGGCTGTAAGTAAATAATGTCGGAAGAAGACAGCAAATTTGGTCGGCACCGCGTTGTTTCTCTTTTGTAAAAGGCAACGAAATTGATTGGTAACATAAAATAGTTCTTATAATCGTATGAAGCATGGCGGAAGCTTCTGCAATTGAGGTGAATCGCCAACAAATAAGAACAGAACTGCTTAAAGGACACATGCAAGCTAGAAAACAACTTTATTTTATTGTAATGCCTATAGCGTGAAAATAAGACGTACCAAGTTTCAAAGTTGTCCGCAAAATATTTAAAAATATATTTAGGATTATAATCGGTAAAAACACTATATTGGATGACCATTGCTAAAACGCCGTGAGATTGTTTAAGTCTGGGAACTGGGAAAGAGTGACGTATTAGTTGACATAAACAAGCATCGTTCTTATATCGTTCTACGACTTGCACGGCTTTCGATAGTTTGCTATTACTGTTTTTTATTTATCAATGACTAATGGATTCTTCTGAAGAAGAAGCCGATTATGATATTATCATCAATAACAATAAGGTACAACCTTACATGTTTGAGCCTTTGGCCAACGCGTAAGGTGGTCATAATGATGACAATTCTCCGCCATCGAAAAGCGAAGATAAACACATTCACAAAATTGGAAATGTTGAATGGTTAGTTGCATTTTATTGATGCTTCATTGTTTTTTCCCAAAGTAAAAACAACGTTTTTATCTTTTAGGTGTGAGTGTGGCATTTGTGTGGTCATGAGTACAGGACGGGAAAGTATATCTTGCCAAGAGGTAAACAATACTGATCCTCTGATACATGGTGATCATATTTGCATCACACAAGAGGAAGAGTGTATACAAATGAAGCTGTCGTAAAAACAGCTATCGTCGTGTACACACATGGCATTGGACCTATGCCTGAGAGTGAAGAAAACGAGTGAGAGTCTGATCCATTGTAGCTATTGCTCATCGTCGACGTGCTTTCTGTATCAGACCATACAGCGCTATCCTCAAAATGTTCAATTTCACATGACGTCGTCTGTGTGCTGTGTTTTTTTGTTGAAGTTAACTCACCTTAGCATAAAATTATCGTATTGCTGGATTTTTCACAAAAATCAAAACGGCCGAAATGGAAAGTCTATACCCCTACTTATCTTTTATGCTTGACTAGAAGATTTTTGATTTTGTTTCTCAGTGAAGATTCTTTTTTACCTACATTGTATGAGTAACAACTGTGAGAATATGAATTATAATCAGAGAGAAACATTGAAAATGTCGGCAAAGTTTAACTGATTCAGATTTTGAGAAAATTGATCATTTTGATGATTTAAAAACATTTAGAGCTGCTAAAGATAAAATCAGGAAAAAGAAGGAGGCTAAAAAGATGACAAAGGTATGTAAAGGTTATAACAATTACTCAACTATTATAAAGTAAACTAGGTTGGCTTTCTCAGTGCAATTTGCTGTTGATAAACTGCTTTGAACAAAAATTTTATGTTCAAACATTGAAATTAATATTTATTAAAAACTTTGACTGTTTGTGTGTGTGTGGGCTAATTGTATGACAAACTTTTCATGACTAACTTTGGGCAAAATTATGACACGTATTGTGAATTTAATTCCCACCCAAGTGAGTGATAAATTTCTTTATGAAGTTCAATATTTATCATAAGTTTTCAATGATTCTATGAATCGTTGTCACTTTATATTGTGTATCATAAAATAGAAACAGTTTAACATATGCAGTTAATCTATAGCTGTGTTTGCAAACCATTCAAAGCTCAACCAATTAAATCAATCAATCAATCAAAGAGAATTTGCAAATCAATCATGAATACATTTAGAGGAAGAATTAAAACTTTTGTTTAAATTTATCTGTTTGCATTATTGTTATTTTATAAAAGAAATAAAAGATGTTTTTCATATTTGCACTGGCTTATGCAAACCTCAGAGATATTTGTGAGAACTTCCAAGCAAGTGCAACCTTTGATGTTTGGTCTTGTGCTTGCAATGATCTGGTCTTAATTTCTTGCAAGATCTCTTTGGTTTGCATTCACTTGTGGAAAACAGTAAACATCTTTTATTTACTTCTTACATGAAGTAGACCATTCTTACTAAGATATCTCAATAACACTCATCATTTATTCAAGGCTGCACAACAACCAGTGAAGACAAAAGCTCCAACAAAACAAAAAGGTGGAAGAAGTACTGGTCGTGTTGGTGGAAAACGTTGAATGTAAATTATCACGCATTTCACTATAATAAATGGTCATGGTTTAATGGTATTTGCATTTTTTTAGTTTTATGTTTTAATTCATGCTTCATTGTTCAATGTTGTGTAATCTGGTTGTGAATTAAGGATGAAAATTTGAATCACATTTTCAGATGTTAAACATAACCTCCCTCTACCCTCGTAATCCTCACCTAAACCTTCCCCTACCCCCATCTGCCGAACAAATAACTGATTAAATCTTCACTTGTTTCATACAAGGTTGGTACCACTAAAACTAAATATTTAACTTGTAGACTGATCAAATCTTCACTAGTTTCATACAAGGCTGGTACCACTAAAACTAAATATTTAACTTCTAGACTTATCAAATCTTCACTTTTTTCATACAAGGCTGTACCACTAGAACTAAACATTTAACTTGTAGACTGATCAAATTCTTCACTTGTTTCATACAAGGCTGGTACCACTAAAACTAAACATTTAACTTGTACAATGATCAAATCTTCACTTGTTTCATACAAGGCTAGTACCACTAAAACTAAACATTTAACTTGTAGAATGACCAAATCTTCACTTGTTTCATACAAGGTTGCTACCATTAAAACTAAACATTTAACTTGTAGAATGTATATTTTGGTTAACAAAGTTGCGTGAAAGCATGAAAATATATTGAAACTCACCCTTTGAGAATTTTTTCTACTGTGAATGCAATCAAGACTAAAGGAAGAAATAGGTTGAACACAAAGTCAGTCTGCAGTATTCTAAAAGTTAAGTAAGCAGTGAAAGAGTCAGAAGGCTGTGTCAAATATTTACCATCGACCAATGCTTTAAGTCATATGACAACCGACATTCTTTATGCTCAAGACTCTGACTCAAGCGACGAATCTAAATCGAACTAAATAATTGTTTTTCATTGTTATTCATTGTTTTTTTTTGTTATTTTGTACAAATGTGCAATGGGCATCATTATAAATTTACATTTGACTTAGCTTATTTCATTCATTTGGTGCAAAGTAGGCAATTTTCGTCGAATTGTGAACATTGGTGGATAATATGTGAACTTTTGAACATGCCGACATGAACTTATCTAAATTTCATCTGGCAACACTGCTTCCTTTTCAACTGTTTTGTCTTGCTTCGATCTGGCATAAGGAAGTAAGTCTTTTGAAATACGTTCCAATCCAAGGAAACAGCAAAACGTTTTCGTTATTTTATGAAATTCTTTGTGAAACTGAAACTTTTTTTCATAAATGAATCGATATTAGCGGTATTACGTCCTAAATTCTTTAAAAATCGGCGATTAAAACTTGTCGATTTTAATTGTTTTGGAAATATTCATTAGTCTTTACCCAGAGACTGCTATTATTGCATGTTATATTTCTCATTTGATCTTCCTAGTATTTGATGATTTCGTTATTTTCTTTAAATTTTCAGACTCGAGGTGTGCAGCTACAGTGGATACAAAATCTACCCAGGTCATGGGAAAAGATATATACGTCTAGATGGAAAGGTACTTACGTTTACAATGTTCAACTTAGAAGAACTGCTTAATTTGTCCCTTCGTTGATATAAAGTTATTTTTAAAACACACTTTAAAAACTTGATTGTAAAATCACATCCTAATTATTTTGCCATAACCAATAAATGTTTTATACATCAATTTAATAGTCTTTCAATTTCCTGGACAAGAAATGTGAGAGATCCTTCTTGATGAGAAGAAATCCACCAAAGATTTCATGGACTGTCCTTTACTGTAGAAAACACAAAAAGGGCTCAGTTGAAGAGGTTTCGAAAAAGCGAACAAGACGAAATGTCAAATTCCAACGAGCCATCCAGTGTGCAACTCTTGAAACTATTTTGGCCAAATGCAATCAGAAGCCTGAAGTAAGAAAAGCACAAAGAGAGCAGGCAATAAGGTATTAAACACAACTGTATTGTGTCTTTAATATCTAAAAATTTACATCTTTTATGCTTGATGATTTTTGATTTTGTTTCTCAGTGAAGATTCTATTTTACCTACATTGTATGAGTCACAACTGTGAGAATATGAATTATAATCAGAGAGAAACATAGAAAATGTCGGCAAAGTTAAACTGAATCAGATTTTGAGAATATTGATCATGTTGTTGATTATTTAAAAACATTTAGAGCTGCTAAAGATAAAATCAGGCAAAAGAAGGAGGCTGAAAAGATGACAAAGGTATGTAAAGGCTGTAACAATTACTCAACTATTATAAAGTAAACTAGGTTGGCTTTCTTAGTGCAATTTGCTGTTGATAAACTGCTTTGAACAAAAATTTTATGTTCAAACATTGAAGTTAATATTTATTAAAAACTTTGACTGTTTGTTTGTGTGTGGGCTAATTGTATGACAAAACTTTTCATCACTAACTTTGGGCAAAATTATGACGCATATTGTGAATTTAATTTCCACCAAAGTGAGTCATAAATTTCTTCATGAAGTTCAGTATTTATCATAAGTTTTCAATGATTCTATGAATCGTTGTCACTTTATATTGTGTATCATAAATAGAAACAGTTTAACGTATGCAGTTAGTCTATAGCTGTGTTTGCAAACCATTCAAAGCTCAACCAATTAAATCAATGAATCAATCAAAGAGAATTTGCAAATCAATCATGAATACATTTAGAGGAAGAATTAAAACTTTTGTTTAAATTTGTCTGTTTGCATTATTGTTATTTTATAAAAGAACTAAAAGATGTTTTTTCATGTTTGCACTGGCTTATGCAAACCTCAGAGACATTTGTGAAAACTTCCAATGATGTGATCTTAATTTCTTGCAAGATCTCTTTGGTTTGCATTCACCTGTGGAAAACAGTAAACATCTTTTATTTACTTCTTACATGAAGTAAACCATTCTTACTAAGATATCTCAATAACACTCATCATTTATTCAAGGCCGCACAACAACCAGTGAAGACAAAAGCTCCAACAAAACAAAAAGGTGGAAGAAGTACTGGTCGTGTTGGTGGAAAACGTTGAATGTAAATTATCACACATTTCACTATAATAAATGGTCATGGTTTAATGGTATTTGCATTTTTTTAGTTTTATGTTTTAATTCATGCTTCATTGTTCAATGTTGTGTAATCTGGTTGTGAATTAAGGATGAAAATTTGAATCACAATTTCAGATGTGAAATATAACCTCCCTCTACCCTCGTAATCCCCACCTAAACCTTCCCCTACCCCCTATCTGCCGAACAAATCAAACTGATCAAATCTTCACTTGTTTCATACAAGGCTAGTACAACTAAAACTAAACATTTAACTTGTAGAATGATCAAATCTTCACTTGTTTCATAAAAGGCTGCTACCATTAAAACTAAACATTTAACTTGTAGAATGATCAAATCTTCACTTGTTTCATACAAGGCTGGTATTACTAAAACTAAACATTTAACTTGTAGACTTATCAAAATCTTCACTTGTTTCATACAAGTCTGGTACCACTAAAACTAAACATTTAACTTGTAGAATGTATATTTTGGTTCACAAATGTTGCGTGAAAGCATGAAAATATATTGAAACTTACCCTTTGTATCTACAGGGTGCATGCAAAATGCAACCCATTGAAATCAGCAGACGTTTAACATATGCATGATTCAGCCGTAGTCAACCTCCAATGAGACAGAAACGTAATTGTAACGATAACACGAATTGATTTAATGATTGGCATTTTCAATGTGCTGTAGTCAACATGCAAACGACTGCAATTTAGCACAGTAAATACTTAGTAGCGAGAGACTTGCCGAGCGGAAATGGAATTCGTGTAATAAAAGTTAATGCCCAACATAAAGTTTTAATTAGAGCCATAGAAATAGACCAAAAACTACAATTTTTAAAAAATATTTTTGCACAACAGAAAGTAAAATCTTTGTAATTCAATAGTTCGTGGTAAATTTGTAATATCATCATAAACGTGAGCACGTTATTTTTTGCAACTCTCCATTGTCTGAAGGGTTCATTCCAAGTGTAAAGTATAGTGAAGTAAGTTAAATGACTGTAAAATTCTAATTTTGTCGTGGATATGCAATTTAAGAGAGAGTGTACAGACAGTAGAGAAAGGCAAAATCTGAGTCTTTTGACTGAATTTACACAATTCATCTTATTCACCTTGAAAGCAAAGAATAGAACCTTGTATAATATAGTTAGCATAATTAAGGTATGTATAATGACTAGTTAAGAGGGAAGCTCGTGTACATAAGAGAGCATTTCTCAAGTAAATACGCTTTTTTAGTCATCCTAGACTGAATAATATATTACACCTTGGAAGCTCACTAAACATATTTTCTAAAGTTTTTGAATGTCTTGTATATTTTATATCGTTAATACAGCGTGCATTCAAGGCTATCTACATGTACACAGTGCGTATCTATTTTAGCCACAAGTATCACAGGCTTGCATTTTCGCTACAAGTATTTCCGTTGTACACCCATTTTCATCAGTGTAATTCAACTTTAAACAATTCAAGTATTCCCGCAGTAATCGATCTGAGTAATTCCTTTCCTCTGGTAACAAACAACGGACTTTCATGGGCTGACCATCATGTTTGATTAATGGTACTTTCTCATTATTTTCTGACATCACAAGTGCTGTAAAGTGTCCATTGTGATAGCCAATCAAAAGAGGGCTTTTGATACAATCCACGGAGTCTGACAGCAAGGGTAGGTATATGCCACCAAGGTTTACACCAGCACTTTGATCATCACAGTCACCATGATGAGAATCGTCACATATTACCAGAATTGTTCTTCGAAGAACATTAGCTAAGGCAAATATATGAATCTCCTCTAAAGAGTAAAAACTTGGTGTTGTTGGAAGAGCGACTGTTTTCTTCCAGTCTTTGCTCCATTGCTCTACACCAAATTCCATTGGCGTACCAGCATTTTGATCCTCCAACTGCCTTTCGACTTCCAACTGCCAGCGTTGTCGATAAGTGCCTAAAATGAAGTTTAAATAAATAAGGACTTGTTTGTAAGGACTTGTCTCGTATCATACGCGTATCGTTCTCGTATCATACGCGTACCGTTCTCGTATCATACGCGTATCGTTCTCGTATAATACGTTTATCGTTCTATGTTATACGCGTATCGTTTTTTGAATCTCTGACAACGGCTGATATAGTCTGTCTGCTTGCTTACAGGACAATTGCTCGATGCTGATTCGCGGCTAATTTTAGTGTATTTCTTTCCTTCCTTACTTAATATTAAAGTAAATGGTTTGAACACGGGAGTATCGTTACATGTTTGTAAATGTAGATCGTCCAGGTTAGCTGAGAAGGACTGTTTTTGTTGTTGTTGACTGACGTTTCGACAATATTAGTGGTAGTCATCTTCAGAGTCAAAAAATGACGAGGTTTTAATAAATCTGATGTGAGAAATACAATTTGTCGGCACTCGCAAGTATTTTATGAGTCTGTTTTCTTTGTTCGGTTCTCGTAACTCTTTAATCAAATTGTTAAATAATCCCAGTCGATCACGTGGTTTATTAATTGGGTGAATCTAGTATCTTGCTAAATGCTTGCTTTCAACTTCAGAAGGAGTATCTTTTTCCAGAAGACACCTTTTCTTTTTTGCTTGTTTTGTCACTGCAAAGGATACTACATAGACACATCCAACAATAATACCTTTTACGTTTTAGCCGATCTTTGTAAACATGCGTGCAATTTTACGTCGTGTTTGACATGTATTTCGTGCACGAATTTTCGTTTTGTTTTCGTTTTCGTGAATATAGACGATAGTGTGACCTTGGGCCTAAATCTTTAAAATTTACAGAGCACCGTTCTCAAACAATTTATATATTACATATTTCTTTTTGTCACTTGCGTATAAAGTCTATCAAGCGACAGTTGGCTATTCTGTATTTCTCGAGTCGACGAGGAACTTTGTTGTGAATTTGACCGAGTCGAAAATATCGCTTACAAGTATGCTATTGTCGAAAATATCAATGCAAAGGCAGGAAAATGAAATTCAGTATGTAACATTTTTTGTTTAAATTTTTTCATGTTAATTTGCAACTCAATCACATGTCGTGATTTGCAAAGCGTGATACATCGGTATGTAACAAAAGCTTTTTTGTTTAAATTTTCCTCATAAAAAATTACGTGAATTTGCATGTTAATTTGCAACTCAGAAAGTAAACTCTTTTTAATCTTATTAGAAATGTCGTGATTTGCAAAGCGTGATACATCGGTATGAAAGGTAAAATTAGACAGATTGTAGTCCTCGGCCTCAATGTACGTTAATATATTACAATGTACGTTGGTAAATTAAATGTAGACATGATCTACATTTTCAAACACCGCACTGCATAAAACATTCTTTCAAATGTACGTTAGTATCCGTTACATGTTGAAAGGTGTAAATCGTCCAAGTTAGTAAAGTCCTGAGAAGAACTGTAACTGTTGGTGTAGGTGTTGACTGACGTTTTGACAACCTTAGCGGCAGTTGACTCTGAAGATGACTACCGCTAAGGTTGTCGAAACGTCAGTCAACAACAACAAAAACAGTCCTTCTCAGAACTTTATTAACCTGGACGATCTACATTTACAAACATGTAACGATACTCCCGGTTCAAACCACCCAATTTTCATACCTGTTAAATCATTGGTAAGAATTTGATAGATTGTTTTTATCAGACAACCACAAAGGAAAATAAGTGTGCTACAAATTATTTCCATAGTTTAATGCGCTTATCTTTTTCGTTGTATCAAAGTTCTTTCCTCTTCTCCTGTACGTATATGCAATATAACTAGCTCACCAGTAATAACTGCACCACTTACAGCGGTCAGTTATAGATCGCCAACACAAGTCGCTCCTTTTCAGTTTTGCTACTTAAGCCAATAAGCATAAAGTCTCAATTAAACTTTTTGCTATGTGAGTAGGTGTACAATGCATGCACGCTTAATGCATGCGTAATGAAAGCTCTTGGCGTAAAAACTACCCCCAAATGGAATAACACGCTTGCAGTGGCGTAGCTAGCGGTCTGGCTGGTCGAGCCCAGCCCGACCAAATATTTTCCCAAAAATGAAAAATTTGTTTTCTTTAAAATTGGATTTGCGAAAATTTTAAATTCTGCGTCTCTTTTTGGAAAAATCCACAGTCTATTTGTGTAATATTTGCCAAATTGCGTCGATATTAGCAAAATTATCATATTTTTAAACGTTACTTAGCAACAATGACTAGTGCATTTCTAGTGCCAGGCATTACGCAGTTTAGTCGGCTCTGAAAATTCAGCCCGACCAAGTAGTAAAATCTATAGTGGGATTATCTGCAATCTGATTGGTTGACAACAACCGAGCAAACTCAAATGCGCTGTTTTGCAACATCTAGTCGGGCTCTGAAAATTCAGCCCGACCAAGAAGTAAAATCGATAGTGGGAATATCTGTAATCTGATTGGTTGAGAGTAGCTGTGAACACACTCAAACGTTTAACAACATCTAGTCGGGTTTATTTTCAAAAGCGTGACTTGAATTTTGTATGAGGCGCCAAATTGGACTTTATTCTAAACTTACAATACTACATAACATACTAAAATTATACATGGCAAACTTTATATACTTCGAGACAAATCGAAAAAATATATGCGAAACTTGCTGTAGGACATTCTAAACTTTTCATATACGTTCGAAACTTCTTGTATCGTATCGTCAAAATTTATGGCCTATTCCGAAGTTTCATGCAGCGTTCCAATTTTCATATACGGTATGGCGAACTTTTTACATCGTGTTGCATAATGCTTTGCGATCCCACTCTGGATTTTATATGAATTTAAATATATTAGTGCCCAGGTCCCAGGTTTTTAGAGAAGTGTATTGTTTTGATTTTGACGCCGCCATATTGACAACATGTTTGCATTCGACATCGTGCTATCTCGACTTTAAACTTAATAATTCAATCAAAATAAACTCTCACTACATGGCTGAAAATACTGGAAACTTTCGGGGTGCTTTATCAAATCTTGCTCAGGAGGAGGCGCGTAATCTTCTGGATAATTTCGATGATAGAAATACTTTGACAATTGATCGTCGTCTGATAGAATCAAATTCTCAGGCAACTTTGACTCAGGAAGATGGGGGAAATATCGAAGGAAATTCTTTGTCCGTAACTTCTCTACCCCTAAATTGACCAAGTCTTCCGTCCAACAGACTGAGTCAAACCGTTTCAAACTGCCCAAATTCAAACACAAATGATATTGCAATAACACGTGGGCAAAGCAGTGCAGATGTACCCGCTGCTCTTCGACTGTCATTTCCAACACTTTCATCAACTACTTCATCAAAGAAAATCAAAAGACCACCATCAAAAAAGATAAAGAAACATTGTATTGTTCACAAAGATTGTAAAATCACATCTATATTATTTTTCCATAACCAATAAATGTTTTATACATCAATTTAATAGTCAATTTCCTAGACAAAAAATGTGAGAGATCCTTCTTGATGAGAAGAAATCCACGAAAGATTTCATGGACTGTCCTTTACCGTAGAAAACACAAAAAGGGCTCAGTTGAAGAGGTCTCCAAAAAGAGAACGAGACGAAATGTTAAATTCCAAAGAGCCATCCAGGGTGCAACTCTCGAAACTATTTTGGCCAAACGCAATCAAAAGCCTGAAGTAAGAAAAGCACAAAGAGAGCAGGCAATAAGGTATTAAACACAACTGTCTTGTATCTTTAATATCTAAAAAGTTACATCTTTTATGCTTGACTAGAAGATTTTTGATTTTGTTTCTCAGTGAAGATTCTATTTTACCTACATTGTATGAGTAACAACTGTGAGAATATGAATTATAATCAGAGGGAAAAATTGAAAATCCTCAAAGTTAAACTGAATCAGATTTTGAGAAAATTGATTATTTTGATGATTTAAAAACATTTAGAGCTGCTAAAGATAAAATCAGGCAAAAGAAGGAGGCTAAAAAGATGACAAAGGTATGTAAAGGTTATACCAATTACTCAACTATTGTAAAGTAAACTAGGTTGGCTTTCTCAGTGGAATTTGCTGTTGATAAACTGCTTTGAACAAAAATTTTATGTTCAAACATTGAAATTAATATTTATTAAAAACTTTGACTGTTTGTTTGTGTGTGGGCTAATTGTATGACAAACTTTTCATGACTAACTTTGGGCCAAATTATGACGCATATTGTGAATTTAATTCCCTCACAAGTGAGTGATAAATTTCTTCATGAATTTCAATATTTATCATAGTTTTTAATGATTCGATGAATCGTTGTCACTTTATATTGTGTATCATAAAATAGAAACAGTTTAACGTATGCAGTTAGTCTATAGCTGTGTTTGCAAACCATTCAAAGCTCAACCAATTAAAATCAATCAATCAAAGAGAATTTACAAATCAATCATGAATACATTTAGAGGAAGAATTAAAACTTTTGTTTAAATTTGTCTGTTTGCATTATGGTTATTTTATAAAAGAAATAAAAGATGTTTTTTCATGTTTGCACTGGCGTATGCAAACCTCAGAGTTATTTGTGAGAACTCCCAAGTATGTGCAACCCTTGACATTTGGTCTTGTGCTTGCAATGATCTGATCTTAATTTCTTGCAAGATCTCCTTGGTTTGCATTCACTTGTGGAAAACAGTAAACATCTTTTATTTACTTCTTACATGAAGTAAACCATTCTTACTAAGATATCTCAATAACACTCATCATTTATTCAAGGCCGCACAACAACCAGTAAAGACAAAAGCTCCAACAAAACAAAAAGGTGGAAGAAGTACTGGTCGTGTTGGTGGAAAACGTTGAATGTAAATTATCACGCATTTCACTATAATAAATGGTCATGGTTTAATGGTATTTGCATTTTTTTAGTTTTATGTTTTAATTCATGCTTCATTGTTCAATGTTGTGTAATCTGGTTGTGAATTAAGGATGAAAATTTGAATCACAATTTCAGATGTGAAACATAACCTCCCTCTATCCTCGTAATCCCCACCTAAACCTTCCCCTACCCGTATCTGTCAAGCAAATCAATCTGATCAAATCTTCACTTATTACATCCAAGGCTGGTACCACTAAAACTAAACATTTAACTTGTAGACTTATCAAATCTTCACTTGTTTCATACAAGTCTGCTACCATTAAAACTAAACATTTAACTTGTAGAATTTATATTTTCGTTAACAAATGTTGCGTGAAAGCATGAAAATATATTGAAACTCACCCTTTGTATCTACAGGGTGCATGCAAAATGCAACCCATTGAAATTAGCAGACATTTAACATATGCATGATTCAGCCGTAATCAACCTCCAATGAGACATAAGGGAGTTTTAGCAAGAGTACGACTACGACAACGAGTACGAAATTTGACCGTGTAAGAGAATGGCACGAGGAAGTTTGTTGTCGTTGTCGTTTCGTCAAAATTTTGCTTTAGTTTTAAACAACAGAACGAGCCTTTTTATTGTGTAAAACACCGACGTTTGCGAAGCAGCTACGGCTCTATTTGTCAATCATGATATCAAAGAATCGACAATACTGGTTTTGCGAGAATATAGGACTCTCTAGACTGAAAAATCTTCACTATTTTAAGTTTTATGTACGATATATTTGTACTATTTTATTGTTTGTTTACCTTTCACTTTGTGTACGAAATACATGAAAGTTTTGCCGGTCATATTTTCCTTTTTAATGTACATCTGCGCTCTAAAAGGGTTCTAAATTAAAGCCTGGATGCTCGAAAATAGTACTGTAAACTAATTTCTTACAGAATGAAGAAATATACCTACTTTCTTTGCTTAAAAAGACATCGTAGTCGCGACTACGAATTTTTTACAAAACATCGTACTCAGATTGATGACGGCTACGTGTTTTTGTTGTCGCAACAATGTTTTCGCGCCAAAATGACGTAAATCGTACTCGTAGGCTCTGCTAAAACTCCCTATAAACGTAATTGTAACGATAACGCTAAAGGATTTAGTGATAGGCATTTTACGCGTTTTCTTTTTACGCGTTTTTCCGTTTAGTCAACATGCAAACGACTGCAATTTAGCACAGTAAATACTTAGTAGCGAGAGACTTGCCGAGCGGAAATCGAATTCGTGTAATAAAAATTAATGCCCAACATAAAGTTTTAATTAGAGCCATAGAAATAGACCAAAAACTACAATTTTTAAAAAAATTTTCTGCACCACAAAAAGTAAAATCTTTTTATTCAATAGTTCGTGGTAAATTTGTAATATCATCATAAACGTGAGCACGTTATATTTTGCAACTCTCCATAGTCAGAAGGGTTCATTCCTAGTGTAAAGTATAGTGAAGTAAGTCAACTGACTGTAAAATTCTAATTTCGTTGTGGATATACAATTTGAGAGAGAGCGTACAGACAGTAGAGAAAGACAAAGACCTGAGTCTTTTGACTGATTTTACGCAATTCATCTTATTCACATTGAAACCAAAGAATAGAACCTTGTATAATATAGTAAGCATATTTATTGCATGTATAAATAGTATAATTATAGTGTGTATAATTAATTAGAAAGCTCGTGTATATAAGAGAGCCTTTCTCAAATAAAAGTGCTTTATTATTCATATTACACCTTGGAAGCTCACGTTGGAAGAGCGTCCATACAAGGCTTTCCACGAGGCTATTTAAGTATCACAGGCTTGCATTTTCGCTACAAGTATTTCCATTTTACACCCATTTTCATCAGTGTAATCTAACTTTAAACAGTTCAAATATTCACGTAGTAATCGATCAGAGTAATTACTTTCCTCCGGTAACAAAAAACGGACTTTCATAGACTCACCATCATATTTCATTAATAGTACTCCCTCATTATTTTCTGCCATCACAAGTTCTGTAAAGTGTCCTTGGTGATAGCCAATCAGAAGAGGGGTTTTGATACAATATGCGGATTCAGCCAACAATGGTAGGTATATGCCACCAAGGTTTAGACCAGCAATTTGGACATCACAGTCACCATGATGAAAATTGGCACATATTACCAGAATTGGTCTTCGAAGAATATTAGCTAAGGCAAATATATGAATCCCCTCAAGAGAGTAAAAACTTGGTGTTGTTGGAAAAGCGACTGTTTTCTTCCAGTCTTCGCTCCATTGCTCTACACCAAAATCCATTGGGATACCAGCATTTTGATCCTTCAAGTGCCTTTCGACTTCCAACTGCCAGCGTTGTCGATAAGTGCCTAAAATGAAGTTTAAATGAATAAGGACTTGTATGGAGTCGAGTTATCCGGCTAGCCGAGAAACTCCATTAATCGGGTACGGTACCGCTCGCGTATTTGTTAACATAATTTTGCGAATGATGAGCATATCGTTCTCGTATCATACGCGTATCGCTCTCGTATCATACGCATATCGTTCTCGTATCATACGCGTATCGCTCTCGTATCATACGCGTATCGCTCTCGTATCATACGCGTATCGCTCTCGTATCATACGCGTATCGCTCTCATATCGCCGCGTATCGCTCTCGGATCATACGCGTATCGGATCATACGCGTATCTCGTATCATACGCGTATCGCTCTCGTATCATACGCGTATCGCTCTCGTATCATACGCATATCGCTCTCGTATCATACGCGTATCGTTCTCGTATCATACGCATATCGCTCTCGTATCATACGCGTATCGCTCTCGTATCATACGCGTTTCGCTCTCGTATCATACGCGTATCGCTCTCGTATCATACGCGTATCGTTCTCGTATCATACGCATATCGCTCTCGTATCATACGCATATCGTTCTCGTATCATACGCATATCGCTCTCGTATCATACGCATATCGCTCTCGTATCATACGCGTATCGTTCTCGTATCATACGCATATCGCTCTCGTATCATACGCGTTTCGCTCTCGTATCATACGCATATCGCTCTCGTATCATACGCGTATCGCTCTCGTATCATACGCATATCGCTCTCGTATCATACGCGTATCGTTCTCGTATCATACGCATATCGCTCTCGTATCATACGCGTATCGCTCTCGTATCATACGCGTATCGTTCTCGTACCATACGCGTATCGTTCTCGTGTCATACAATTCACGTATTAATGAAAAAATTTAGTTAGACACAAGTATTAAGGTTTTGAATTACTTTGTCTCGCAACAATTGACTAAAAATAAACAGATCGATGTCGTATCATACGCGTCTTCCTTATCACACACCCGATTTACCTGTTACATCTTCTGTAAGAATTTCACAGATTGTTTTAAGCAGACAACCACAAAGGACAATAAGTGTGCTACAAATAATTTCCATAGTTTACTGTAATCAAAAGCTGCGACGAAACTTTACCACCACAATTAAGGAAAGTAAAATTACGCTTGGTGTAGCTCCAAGTTTGACCTTTTACAAGTTATTCAACATAAAGCTAAATTAATATGCTTCTACTACGTGAGCGATGACGTATTTTGTCACATGACATAGGTCTAATTGTTTACACGGTTACTATAAGAACAGTTATTTTAAGAACAGTTATTATAAGAACAGTCTTTACGCTTTTGTTTTTTATGTAAATTATTGAAATATATGTAAATATATGTATATATCGTGTTATTTTTAAAAATAAACCCATTTTTTTGGCGTCAGGTCCCAGTCCACTTAGCCGCTCCAGTTATTATAGAACTCAGTATAGTGTTGTGGCCTACTATTAGTGTAGTTTCTGAATCTGTGTTCTATTTTGCCTTTTGAGTTTAAGACGAATTTTAGACATAACTCAACTCAACTCAGGGAAGATGAGTGATGATTAAATTGGTTCACATAAGCCGACGTTTTATCGGTTGATATTGAAAAAATAAGCTGTTTTAGAATGCAAATGATCGAGTAGTAGTAAAATAATAGTATTTACTTTACAACTATACATAATGTTTTATTGTTATCGTCACTCTTTGGCAAATGATAAGCATTTCTAAATCATAAGTTATGTGGCAGACTCATTTTCTCGCAGAGTTTCAACTTTTTATGTAATGAGCTCTGTCAAGCATAATGTAGTATGACTGAGCGTAAGTCTATTTCAAACATTTAGCAAAGTAGTGGTCGTTACTTGTTAGACTTAAGGGTTAATGATCTGCCATCTATGAGTCATTTCAGTTAAACATTGTGAACATCCATGATAATGTCATACGACGACGTCACGCATTTTTCATAATTTCATGGCTTCAGCCTCATCAAGAGAGCCCCCCATATGATAAATTTATTTCTACAGCACTGCTGTTAAGGGTCATAGGTCGCACAACTTTTCTTACCGTTTTTGTAGATAACTAATTGTTTGTTTTCCCTCGGTTGGTTGAATTTCCAAATCGCATATGTTGTTTGAAAATAGCCCGTGTTATGATTAAACTTACCAGCGAAACACCTAGGAGAGAGAAAATTGTAAAAGTCATGCACCTACCTCGTCACTCATTTCTCCACAAAACACCGAATTAACATGCAATTGATGCAAATAAACAAAATTATTCAAGAATACTGAGATGTTGAAAGCAACGCCGTCGCACAAAACTGCTATAAACATGTGCTTTTTTAACGATATGGCAAAACATGATTGGTGACTACCCTGAGGACAATAAGTGTGCTACAAATTATTTCCATAGTTTAATGCGTTTATCTTTTTCTTTCTATCAAAGTTCTTTCCTCTTCTTCAGCGTTTTGGTCTGAACCTAGTGCGAACCAGCAAGTGGATCTTGGCGAGGACGTTTTTGTTATTACTATTGGTTTCTTTGTATTAACTCATAAAGATCTTTGTATTCATAATTTCCAACGTCATTAATACATCAATTTATTTACTTATATTAGCTGTGTAGTCATCGATGTTGAGATGATTTGAGATGATGTTGAGATGATGAGATGATGTTGAGATGTGTGTATTTGAACGTACATTCAGTGAAAATACTAAGATCTTTGTCAACTAGGAATGAACCCTTCATTGATATTACAAAGATTTTGTAATTCAATAGTTCGTGGTCGTATACTGTAGAATATTCTATTGAATATCCAATGCATTGCTTCAATGTAGTGCTCTATAAATATTTTTGTAAGGGCTGTCACATATGTTTTTACGCATAAGAACATTTGTGACAGCTAGACAACTGTAATGGACACTTAAAAGTACAAATGTAGTACACCTTTGACAAACTTACGTCTGTGATTTTTTGTTTATTTGCGTCGTACAGAAGAACAAAATTGTCTTATGAAAAGGTATGCTAAGTTTAAGTGAATCACACTAACTGAAGTTACTTCTCTTCTCTTACGTTTTTGTTATTACTATTGGTTTCTTTGTATTAACTCATAAAGATCTTTGTATTCATAATTTCCAACGTCATTAATACATCAATTTATTTACTTATATTAGCTGTGTAGTCATCGATGTTGAGATGATTTGAGATGATGTTGAGATGATGAGATGATGTTGAGATGTGTGTATTTGAACGTACATTCAGTGAAAATACTAAGATCTTTGTCAACTAGGAATGAACCCTTCATTGATATTACAAAGATTTTGTAATTCAATAGTTCGTGGTCGTATACTGTAGAATATTCTATTGAATATCCAATACATTGCTTCAATGTAGTGCTCTATAAATATTTTTGTAAGGGCTGTCACATATGTTTTTACGCATAAGAACATTTGTGACAGCTAGACAACTGTAATGGACACTTAAAAGTACAAATGTAGTACACCTTTGACAAACTTACGTCTGTGATTTTTTGTTTATTTGCGTCGTACAGAAGAACAAAATTGTCTTATGAAAAGGTATGCTAAGTTTAAGTGAATCACACTAACTGAAGTTACTTCTCTTCTGCCGTAGAAGTCTGGAACCAGCGTTGTCTCTCATTGTTTAATTCACGAAAATGATCCAGCACCCTTGATTATGGAGCATTATCATAAATTGAATATTTGTATCGCTTTTAACGTTATATTCGAAGAATAAATTATCAGTTAAGTGCAGAAATTTTATAAACAAGAAAAGACGTGGTTATTATGAGGCTATAGCCACACGTACGAAGTGCATATCTACATATATAAGGAAGCGAATATATTACTTTATTACTAATATCAATACAGTTCTTTAGATATGAAGATTTAAACCTTATAGAATGACAATATTTCTTGTTCATTGAAACAAAATTTGTTGAAAACTGTTCACACCAACTGTCTATTCTAAGAAAAGCATTTCTTTCTTCTTTAAACATTTATGACAAAGACCCTGATCTTCTTCTGTACCAAAACATCCACAACCTTTAGTTACACATGGTATTAGTTTAAATGGTCGCCTATATACTGGTGACGATGGTGCTGAAACACTTTGTCTCTCAACAATTATCTAAAATATAAACAAATATTCTATAAATGAGGTTGCAAATGTGATAAAAGATTTTTGGCGAAAATGAGTACAATTTATTGATTTCTAGAGATTGTGTGAGAAATTTCTTTGTTTAGTTAATTCAACAACAAATATTTACCTGATAATAGTGGGGTTCATTTACATAATAAAGCCTGTGCAAGTCATGATTTGTATTCTTTTGCTGTTGTGCTATTTGCCATTTCTTTCTAGCTCTTTCTTCTTCAATTTTGATCTTCTTCTCAGACTCTAAGTCATAATCAAGTTGCAATGCCTTTGCATAACATTGTGAACACAAGTTATCATTCTCTGGGATGCCGAAGAATTGACAGTCTTCAATGAGACATCTTGTCTTGACTGCTTCCGCATTCGATGTTGATTTTTGCCTGAAGTGGCTACCATAACTGACCCCTCTTGAAATAATGCATGTAATTTGATGAAACAAACAGAACATAGGCCTTCATAATCTGGGTTGGCAGTATAACCACAGCCAGGAGAAGTACAAATACGGGTGTTGTCTGTGTTTCTACATTGATGACAATAATTGCTTTCGATACTGGCAATGTTTAATAAATATTTACCGAAATTTATTCCGTTAAATACGCTGAGCGGTCGCAACATTGGCTACATGTGTCTTATCTTGGTGTTTGCGAAATATATTAACGTACATTGAGGCTGAGGACTACAATCTGTCCAATTTTACCTTACTATACTTTACATTTGGAATGAACCCTTCAGACTATGGAGAATTGCAAAATATAATGTGCTCAAGTTTATGATGCTATTACAAATTTTACCACGAACTATTGAGGAAGTATTAAGATTAAAAAGAGTTTACTTTCTATGGTGCAAATTAACATGTCGCGATTTGCAAAGCGCGATACATCGCGAGGTATAAACTTTAAAGCAAAAGCTTTTTTGTTTAGAAAATTAAACGAGACTTACCTGAAGTCGAAGTTTGATTGAAATTCTATGAGTTACTGTTCAGGAACTAGGAAGTCATGTGAGATAGAGCGCGCGATATCAAGATCAGTTTTTAAAAATTTGCGAACGTCCACATAGATATTGGGAGGCAAGTAGTATTTAACATCATTTGAAAAGAAGTAAGTTAGTAGTTGGGTGGGTGACTTCCTAGTTCCTGAACAGTAACTCATAGAATTTCAATCAAACTTCGACTTCAGGTAAGTCTCGTTTAATTTTCTAATTCTATTTCGTCACTGTTCTACGTCACTAGGAAGTCATGTGAGATTTTAAAGCAATGTGGACATGAGCAATAACTAATAACAAAAGAATATAATTGAAATTTCACATTTCAAGTCTCACAAATGGCAGAAAGTAGATCATTGCCAAAGTTCTTCGCCTCAATTGGTTTATTATAAAATGTTTGAAAAGTTTGTTCATTACGCCATGTAGCTGCATTCATAATAGTGTCCATAGAAATATTCAATGTGTTTGCCGTAGAAGTTGATGCAGTTCTAGTACTGTGTGCACTGTAAACCTCAGTATTTATACCAGCATCCTTTAACACGTATTTTAACCATCGGAAAATGGTCGCTGATGTGACCGAATGATAAGGTTTTTGATAGCTCAATAAGAGTTGTCTTGCACCATTTCGTATGGGTGCAGTGACATTTAGATAATGAGACAAGTAATTGAATACACATAACCCAGGCTCTGGTGGATAAGCCCGAAATTCTAAAGGAGCAGCATGCTTACCACGTTTAGATGTTTTGAGCAGTTGGTGCACATGAAAAACTATTTGATCTTCTTTCTTCTCCATGTGAGAAATATCCAATGCATGAAGTGTTTGGCATCGCTGACCAGATAACAAAGCTAATAGCATTACTGTTTTTAGTGTTAATGATTTCAAACTGAGATCTTTCGGAGGGTGGAGATTTCGAAGATGTTCGAATACAACAATTTGTTGCAAGATCTGGTCTTGCAACAAATACACCTTTAACAAACATAGCAACGAGTGGATGTGTACCAAAGGAGATGCCACTTGGTAGCATTAGGATAGTAGATAAGGCGCTCCTTGCAGTATTAATACCGCTGTATGATAAACCTTCCTGGTATAATTTTATAAGAAAATTAATGCCCTCCTCTACAGAGGACGCGACAGGATCGATATTGTTTGCATTGCAATATTGTCGCCAACGGTTAAGGTATGTAGAATATTGCTTCTTGGTACCGGTCCGCCAGGACTGCTGGATGATTTGAGAAGCCTCTGGTGAAATGCCTCTATCAGAGAGGAGTTCCCCGATAAATGGCAAAGTAGTAGCTCCAGTTTTGTATGGAGAGGGTGGATTTGATCCGGATGAGCTGGAAGAGTTAAGGTCATTCTTCCTCTAGGTAAAACAACAGGATGTGCTATTAGCATCTGCATTAAAGCTGGCCACCAACTTTGTGTTGGCCAGTTAGGGACTAAGACTAGTCCTGTGCTTTTCTCTTGTACTATTTTTGTAACACTTGCGAAATTATGCTAAAAGGCGGGAACGCATAAAATGTATAATTGGCCCACGATATCGTAAAGGCGTTGACAGCTATAGCATACGGGTCAGGTTGGTATGAAACATAGGGTTTCACTTGATGATTCAACCTCGACGCAAACAAATCAATGTTCGGAGTTACGTCTAGTTTTGAATGGCACACGTAAACAGAGTCTTGTTCAACTGCCATTCTGTTTCTCTGCGTGATATTCGAGATTCTCGATCCGCAGTGACATTTTGTAATCCTGGAATGTGCGCTGCTGTCAACCAAATATCATACGAAATGCAGCAGGTCCAGATATTGCATGTCAACTTGTGAATAGACCTTGAGTGACATGTGCCCATTTGATTAATGCAAGCTACAGCGGTAGTATTATCAATTAATACCTTAACATGCTGACCTTTTAGTTCTGAAGAAAACGACTCAAGGGCAAACAATACCGCAAGAATTTCCAAATAATTTATATGATTTGAAGCCTCCAAGGGCGTCCAGTTACCCCCAGCACATACACCATTTAGGGAGCAGCCCCACCCTGTCAACGACGCATCTGTTGTTAGGCATTTACTAGGTTCATTGTGAGTAATTTGCCTGTAAGTCGTGCATATTGATGACTGCCACCATCGTAAATCATGTATGGCCTCTGAAGACAGGGTCATTGTCTTGTCAAAATTACCCCGGTTTAAGTTAAGGGCATCGCTTTTATCCATTTCCAGCCAGCGATAATGCAACTGACCGTACATTACTCCCGGGAGGCAAGAAGTTAGAGTGCCCAAAACCCGAGAAACATCCCTTATTTTAGGGTGAGAAGCTTGTAGCAGCTCATAACACATGCGTTTTATCTTCTCAGCTCGTTCCGTCGTTACAGATATTTGCATAAGAACTGAGTTAAGTCGGAAACCCAAAAAAGTAATTACTTGTGAGGAACTAAAACTGACTTATCCGGATGTACGTAAAACCCACTTCACTAAATAAACAGATGGTATCTCGAATATTCCGAACACAGGAAACATATGTGTCGGATGTCAGCCAAGTATCATCAATAAATCCAACCGAAATATGTCCTTTTTGACGTAAATTTGAAAAAACAGGTTTGAGGAGTTTCGTAAATTTTCGAGGGCAGATGGCTAGGCCGTTTGGAAAACAGACAAATTTATATAGTTGCCCTCTCCACCAAAATTTGAGAAATTTTTGATATGCTGGGTGAATAGGTACGGAATAGTAAGCATCTTTGAGATCGATGGATGCCATAAAACAATTTGGTTTCATAAGCCTAATAGCTGACCAAACACACTCCATTTTAAAATGGTGATATCTGACATGCCTGTTTAAGGATTTCAGATTAAGAATCATGCGAAAGAACCGTCTTTTTGGGGCAAGTGAAAATTGGATATAAATTCCCCTGATTCAGGGTGAGAAATCTGCAAAACGCCTTTTTTGCGTAATTTGTTTATTTCTAAATCAATATTGTTCATTTCAACCTCGGGTAGCTGTATTTGCTTGGGTAAAGCTCTTTGAATCGGAATTGTGTCAAATTCAATTGTTTGTCCGGACACTGTCTCTAAGATTTCCTTATCAGAGGTGAGTGTTTCCCATGCACTTAAATAATTTGATATGCTGCCAGCCTGATAGGTCTCCAAGCTTTTATTCAAATACGCTATTAGCGTGGGTACAAAAGAAGAATACTGGTTTACCTGTAAAGTCTTAAAATTTCTTAAAAATTCAGTGTTTTCTACTTGCGATCGTTCATTGTGTCCGATCGTTTCTTCCCGAATTGGTTCCTTTTCGACCGATAGGGGGTGTTGCCCTGATGACGGGATAAAAAATGGCGCCATTGTCGTTTCCCTTGTTTGGAATGTTGCTGCCAAATGGTGTTAGAAGAGCTTGTTGTCGCGTTGCCAATTTTGTTGGATGTGCGAATATGATTAATTTGGGTTTGCAATTCATCTCCAAACAAATATATCGTAATGGGAACATGCGATGCGCATAAAGTACTAAATTCTCGATGGAGATTGAGACGTATAGCGTCACGTTATCGTTGAGACAATTTAAAACTTACATGTCCCAGGATCGCTATGACATCAGCGTTCATACGAACAAGATTATCAATATTCAGTTCGCTGCTGTTATTGCGGGCAACCAACAGATCATTGGTGGTTTGTGCTGCTATATGACCGACATTCGTCAAGGCTGATTGAATTGCACTCAATTGTAAATCACGCCCTCTAGCTGTGCGGTCAAATTTTCCCAAATTTCGGGGTTTACCTTAGGTACAATAAGGCGATCGCAGTTCTTACGCCTAAAAGTTTTAGCCTGTTTTTCCTTCAATTGCTCAACGCTCAGCTTATTCAGCCAACGTTTGTTGATAATTGAGGCGAGCTTCTCGTTGACGATTGGTGAAGTTTTCTCAGTTTCGTCTAGAGTCTGCGAAATCTCTTCCAGCAACGGGTCCACTGCTAGTTGTTCTGCTTCAGAATTGCGCTTGGTCGAAGGTTCTTCATTTTGTGCCAACATGACTTCACAATCTGCGTCATGCCCTGATTCAGGGACTAAAACTTGCTTTCCTTCTTAGATTCTACTGTAGAGGATACTGACGTTTGCTGCATTAACCTGAGTGATTCACTCATTGCAGACATTGCCTCACTCATCCTAAAGGGCGTTGCCACATTCAAATTCTTTGATGTGACTTGCACTTCTTCGCTTTCTTCCATCATGTCATCTTGTTCATCGTGTTCAGCAAAACCCAGAAGTGCTGCTTCATCTCCGACATCATCTCTTGTCATATACTCTTCACTTGTAGAAGCCATAATTTCAAAAAAAATTGTAGTATAATGTGGAAAGGAACTTTTTGTAACTGATCACTGTGAAATCTACGCTCGAACTGATCTTGATATCGCGCGCTCTATCTCACATGACTTCCTAGTGACGTAGAACAGTGACGAAATAGAATTACAATTTTCACATAAAGAATTACGTCAGCCAATCACGATCGAGATTGCACCAGCATTGCATAATAATCGCTGATAATAATACATATTTCCCATTTCTGACTTGGAAAAGCCGAAAATATGTCGAAGTGTAGACGTGGAAATTGCCCATCTTCCTCTCAATAAATTTCGGTTGACGATTTACGAAAAGATGGCAACGAAGAACTACGTCAAGAATATGTGAGGTCGAGGACATTAAATGACATTCATTCTATTAATTTGAAAGTCGGCAATGATCTTAATGTTTGTGTAATTCTGTTTGTCCTTGTTTTAAAATATGGGTTGTCACTTGTATGCTCTATTGTCACTTGGATGCTTTTTTGCTTTTACTCCCCGTGAATGTCCGTCGAGAAGTGTTGGCTATGATATGTCGTAATTTAGAAGAGGAAGATCGAAATGTTCTTTTATAGTCCACTTCTAAATTTAATATTCCCAGCACAACCGATAAAAAGTTTCATATATTTACACCTCTGTGCTCCAAATTGTATGAAGTGTAACCATGACCTTGAGAGCTACGATAAGCAGGTAAAAGTTTTAGTAAACGATCTTAGGTGTATTAAAACTACAACCCATTGAAATCAGACGACGTTTAACTTTTGCATGATTCAGCTGTAATCGACTGTCAATGAGACATAAACGTATTTGAAAGGAATTTAATGCTTGGCACTTGCAATGTTATAGTTCCTATGATTTTGTTTACACTTCTTTCCTTTTAGTCATCATGTAAACGACCGCAATTTAGCACAGTAAATACTTGTTTTGTGTGTGGTTTATTAAGCCATTTGTTATCAAACCGGTTTGTATATGTAATAACAAACGCGTTGCATTATTTTAACTTTCTCAAATTACTGAATTACTGTGTATTTGAAAATCTTAAGAGTATACAAAGTTATACAGGCAGTCCAAATTTATTTCAAAGAGTTAAGTTATGGAGATTTGTGTGTCGTAGCTTTTGCTATTTACCACAATTATTACGCTGCGAGTCATCAAAAGTGTATCGCGAATCGCGACATGTTAATCTACACCACAGAAAGTAAAATCTTTGTAATTCGATAGTTCGTGGTAAATTTGTAATATCATCATAAACGTGAGCACGTTATTTTTTGCAACTCTCCATAGTCTGAAGGGTTCATTCCAAGTGTAAAGTATAGTGAAGTAAGTTAACTGACTGTAGAATTTATAATTTCGTCGTGGATATGCAATTTGAGAGAGTGTACAGACAGTAAAGAAAGGCAAAATCTGAGTCTTGACTGATTTTACACAATTCATCTTATTCACCTTAAAAGCAAAGAATAGAACCTTGTATAATATAGTTAGCATAATTAATGTATGTATAAATAGTATAATTAAGGTATGTTTAAATAGTTAGTATAATTAAGGTATATATAAATAGTTAGTATAATTAAGGTATGTATAATGACTAGTTAATAGATGGAAGCTCGTGTACATAAGAGAGCATTTCTCAAGTAAAAACGCTTTTTTAGTCATCCTGGACTGAATAATATATTACACCTTGGAAGCTCACTAAACATATTTTCTAAAGTACTTGAATGTCGTGCATATTTTATATCGTTAGAACAGCGTCCATGCAAGACTTTCCACAAGGCTATTTTAACCACAAGTATCACAGGCTTACATTTTAGCTACAAGTATTTCCGTTATACACCCATTTTCATCAGTGTAATTCAACTTAAAACAATTCAAGTATTCCCGCAGTAATCGATCTGAGAAATTCCTTTCCTCTCGTAACAAACAACGGAGAACTTGTGCTGACAGAAAATAATGAAGGAGTATCATTAATATTTCATTAATGATACTCCTTCATTATTTTCTGTCAGCACAAGTTCTGTAAAGTGTCCATGGTGATAGCGAATCAAAAGAGGAATTTTGATACAATCCACGGAGTCTGACAACAATGGTAAGTATATGCCACCAAGGTTTACACCAGCAATTGGTTCATTATAGTCACCACGATTAAAATTGGTACATATTACCAGAATTGGTCTTCGTAGGATATTAGCTAAGGCAAATATATGAATCTCCTCAAGACAGTAAAAACCTGGTGTTGTTGGAAGAGCGACTGTTTTCTTCCAGTTTTCGCTCCATTGCTCTACACCAAAATCCATTGGGATACCAGCATTTTGATCCTTCAACTGCCTTTCGACTTCCAACTGCCAGCGTTGTCGATAAGTGCCTAAAATGAAGTTTAAATGAATAAGGACTTGTATGGAGTCGAGTTATCCGGCTTAGCCAAGAAACTCCATCAATCGGGTACGGTACCGCTCGCATATTTGTTAACATAATTTTGCGTATGATGAGCGTATCTTTCTTGTATCATACGTTTATCGTTCTATTTTATACGCGTATCGTTTTTTTGAATCGCTGACAACGGCTGAAACAGTCTGTCTGCTTACAGGACAATTGCTCGGTGCTAATTCCCGGCTATTTTCAGTGTATTTCTTTCCTTCCTTACTTCATATTAGTAGCTTTTCTTTCTTTGGAATAAGGTGATAAACGTGTCCCCGCAGACATGAGAAAATAGTTTTAACACATGCGTATATATTTTTACTTTAGCTTTAGCTGCATTCGAGTTCCTTACCTGTTAAATTTTCGGTAAGAATTTGACATATTGTTGTACCAATCATTTCCATAGTTTACTGCAACCGAAAGCTGCGACGAAGTCACCATCAACACAAGTCACCATGCAATAATGAACACACTTACATTTTTCAATTATATAGTCCTGCATTATACGTGGGCGATGACGTATTTTGTTTGCATTCCTTTGTATGTTCGGGGGTAAGTCCGTTTTTTGTAGCGGCGGGTGATAATATTGCCCTCAAAATATTGCCTTATTTGGTGGTGGGATTGCACGTGTCCGTGCTCCATTTCCGTTCACAAATAACATTGGTTTTTGAGTGCCATGAAACTGCTCCGAAAGAAGTGCTCAACAGAAGAGAGTTTTCATTGCAAAATTGCATTTAAAAGAGTATAATTAAATGACAATTGGACTCTTATAGATGACTAAAGAAACGTAAGGAATAAGATAAGTAAGTAGTAAACTAAGTAAGAAAAGGAAGTAAGGAGAGTGTGTATAATGTGTCTGTATGAATGTGAATGTGAATGTGTGACTACGAAAAATAAATAAGTAAACTATGAACAGTTTTTTTTCGTAACGTCATCCATTTTTCGCTTGAACGTTTGTGGTAAAAACGCATTTCGCAATGGGAATTATATGTAGCACGCTTGTTTTCATTCTTATCGAAGATGCAAAAGGTAAGGAACTCAATTACTAAAGCGATTTATTTCTCCAACTTCGAAAATAAACGTCTGAGTTACTTGATTTTTATTTAAAATCGTGGCCAGAGATTTGCCAGGCGGAAAGCGAATTTTCAATATGAACATAATAGCCTAACATAAAACTTTTGAAAAAGCCATCACAATAGTAAAATAAAGAAAGATTTATTAATAACGTTTCCCAAGTCTTCCGATATTCTGGTGTGTAAATGATGCGTGGCTTGGCCCACATACGATGCAGAGCAGCATCGACTTTTAAATGAGTATACAACACCAGATCTCAGGAGCTTAGGAACCCTGTCTTTAAAAGGAAAGAAAGAGGAGAGACGCCTGGAAGAACGAAAACAAAGCGAACGTTGATATGAGGAAAGGCAGCATTGCAGAGTCAAGTGATTTGAGTGCGAATCTGAAGACAGTGTAGGCCAGTGGAAGGGAGACAGAAGTACATGATTTTCTTAGGAGCAGTGTGAATAGGATCTTTAGGTTCTAATGTATTGTTGAGGAAGCGGTGAACATGATTGTCAAATATGTATGAAGGGAAGTTGTTTAAGGTGAACAATTTTCTAACAACTTCTAGTTCGGTATGAAAGTGTTCATAGCTGGAACAGAGGTTGAATTGAATGGGAATGAAACTATGAAAATTGGTGAAGAGACCAGTGAAAGTGGGTTTACGGATACACAGAGGTGGAAAACTTGCCGTTTGAGCGAGTTATTTTTACGCCAAGGAAGGGGAGTATGTTGTCTTTTTCCATTTCAGATGTAAAGGAAATGTTAGGATGTTGGTGGTTGAGATAGGTAAGGAAAAGAGGTATGTGATCCAATGATCGGAAGAGTAGAAAGCAATCATCAACGTAATGTTGGTAAAGGAGGGGTTTGAAAGTGGAGGGACAGTTGTGAAGCCATGAGTTCTCATTGAAGGACATAGATATGTTAGCAAATAGAGGGCCTAGGGGCTGCCCATACCCACACCATCAATCTGTTGATAAACTTGACCATTAAAGAAGAAATAACAGTTTTTGACGGAGAGAGAGAGATGTTGAGTGAATTGTGAACGGTCAAGGCCTTGAAAGTACGTGTCATTGGAGAAGAGGTGATTAGTAATTATAGCGATTGTTTCATCAACTGGGATGTTGGTGAACAATGATTTAACATCAAAGCTCGCCATCACAACGTTATTGGCGTTAATGTCACTGTGTAAAAGATCTTGGACAAAAGAGATCTTGAGATCTGGTGTTGTATATTCATTTAAGTGTCGATGCTGCTCTGCATTGTATGTGGGTCAAACCATGTGTCATTTAAACACGAGAATATCGGAACATTTGGGAATCTCTCCCTTAACAGGGAAACCTTCCTTTTGTCCACCACCATCTGCATGTCTTTCACATATAAGAAATACATCTCACTCTGCCGATTTTAATGACTTCTCAATTCTCGCTTCTTCCTCGGACAATTATGACCTTATGATTCATGAAAGCCTTCTTATATCCAAACTTAAACCTTCTCTTAACACCCAAGGCAACTCAATCCCCCTTCACCTTCTTTAATATACCGCCATTCTCACTTAATTCCGTCATCTAAACTTCCTAATCCCCTCACATGTAATCTAACACCCTGTAATATATGCTTGTATTTAAAACCTCATGTATATAATTTATCTCAAATAATCTGAAGATGTCTTAAGTTAAAGACGAAACGTTATTAATAAATCTTTCTTTATTTTACTATTGTGATGCCTTTTTTAAAAGTCTTATGCTGGGCTATTATGTTCATATTCGAAATTTTTATTTTTCTTGTCTTCAATTACAAACTGTCATAACATTATTAGGAGTAACGATAAATTGTCAGAAGCTGTATAAATTCGAATTAAAAAAAATTGGTTACATTTTATCATTCTAAAGGCAAGATCTCCAAGTGTATTGGTTAGTTAAAGTGAAAAAGTGAATAAAATATTAAAATAATAAAACAGAAAAAAAACAACATGTTTGTCCAAACCAATAATGAAAAGGAAGACAAACTTACATAATAATGGAATTTTAAAAGTAATCGAAGTCCTTTTTCGATACCACGCAGTATCAACTACATCAGGATTAGGCTTCGTATCGATACCAAGTAATCGATAATCGCCCATCACTAATGGTGGTGTTGAATGAGCTCCATAAATTATAACTATACGCGTATCAAACGTAAAATTATGTTAACAAATATGTGAGCAGTACTGTACCCGATTGATGGAGTTTCTTGGCTAGCCGGATAAACTCGACTCCATACAAACAAGTCCTTATTCATTTAATCTTCATTTTAGGCACTTATCCACAACGCTGGCAGTTGGAAGTCAAAGGCAGTTGGAGGATCAAAATGCTGGTACCTCAATGGATTTTGGTGTAGAGCAATGGAGCAAAGAATGGAAGAATACAGTCATTCTTCTAACAACACCAAGTTTTTACTCTCAAGAGGGTATTCACTTATTTGCCTTATTTAATTCTGGTATTATGTAACGATTCTCAACGTGCAGCACAAGTCACCATGCAATAATGAACACACTTACATTGTTTCACTTAATTTGTCCCTTCGTTGATATAAAGTTATTTTTAAAACACACTTTGAAAACTTGATTGTAAAATCACATCTATTTTTTAGTTTTATGTTTTAATTCATGCTTCATTGTTCAATGTTGTGTAATCTGGTTGTGAATTAAGGATGAAAATTTGAATCACAATTTCAGATGTGAAACATAATCTCTCTCGACCCTCGTAATCCCCACCTAAACCTTCCCCTACCCCATATCTGCCGAACAAATCAAACTGATCAAATCTTCACTTGTTTCATACAAGGCAAATACACAGAATTACTGTGTATTTGAAAATCTTAAGAAGATACAAAGTTATACAGGCAGTCAAAATTTATTTCAAAGAATTACTAGTTTTTGCTATTTACCACATTACGTTGCAAGTTTTTGAATGTCTTGTATATTTTATATGGTTAGAACAGCGTCCATTCAAGGTTTTTCACAAGGTATTTTAGCCACAAGTATCACAGGCTTGCATTTTAGCTGCAAGTATTTCCATTATACACCCATTTTCATCAGTGTAATTCAACTTTAAACAATTCAAATATTCCCGCAGTAATCAATCTGAGAAATTCCCTTCCTCTCGTAACAAACAACGGACTTTCATAGGCTGACCATCATATTTCATTAATGGTACTCCTTCATTATTTTCTGTCTTCACAAGTGCTGTAAAGTGTCCATGGTGATAGCCAATCAGAAGAGGGGTTTTGATACAATCCACGGAGTCAGATAACAATTGTAAGTATATGCCATCATGGTTTACACCAGCAATTTGGTCATCACAGTCACCACGATTAAAATTGGCACATATTACCAGAATGGGTCTTCGAAGAACGTTAGCTAAGGCAAATATATAAATCCCATCAAGACAGTAAAAACTGTTGTGTGTAGTTGATTTTGCTGTTGTTGTTGGAAGAGCAACAGTTTTCTTTCAGTCTTCGTTCCACTGCTCGACATGAAAATCCATTTTAATACCAGAGTTTTGATCCTCCAATTGCTATTCGACTTCGGACTGCCAACGTTTTTGATAAGTACCTAAAATGAAGTTTAAATGAATAAACGCATTTGCTGGGCTTCTCGGCGGGTAGGTCACAAACTTCATTTAAGGTGCTACCCTTAGCAGTTACCAGGTAACTCTGTTCCATTGAAACATTAAGGAGTATCATTAAGCGCACAAGCTCAAGCGAGCAACATTACAAACCTGTTGGATCTTCTGTAAGAATTTGACATGTTATGTGTCTCAGCGTCATTGAACGTTGATGTATTTTACAAACACCCATAGAAGGAATAATTATCTCTAATAATTTACACCAGTTAACGCACAATTTATTTTCCAACACATTAGCAAAAGCTGTGTGTACCAAAGCAGCGATGAAATATTCGCAAAGACCATTGGTGAAGCCCATTTTTCACTGTCTTTTGCGCAATGTAATCAAACCATTTACTTTATTTGCATGGTTTGTTAATCAATGTCATTTACGTCAATGAATGTTAGGATAACTGCGTATATTTGCGACTTATAAATTTATGTGGACGTTTTTAGAAAGTCAAATCAAATGAAGTTCACCATTTGTGTGAACTTCACAATACAATGACGTAACAACCAGATAACAAATACGGCTAACCTGATGTTTACTCCTCGTTTGCCTACCGGTTATAAAGGACAAGGTTTTTACGATGAACATACACTGGTTTAGATATTCGAGACAAACATAATTCATTCTTCAATGTTGATGTGGAGAGAATTTTTTCTTTTGTGAATGCAATCAAAACTAAAGGAATAAACAGAGTAAACGCAAGGTCAGTCTGCAGTATTGTAAAAGTTAAGCAAGGAGTGAAAGAGTCAGAAGGCTGTCTCAAATATTCTCCTTCGACCAAAGCTTTAAGTCATATGACAACAGACATTCTTTATGCTCAAGACTCTGACTCAAGCGACGAATCTAAATCGAACTAAATAATTGTTTTTCATTGTTTTTTTTATTATTTTGTACAAATGTGCAATGGTCATCATTATAAATTTACATCTGACTTAGCTTGTTTCATTCATTTGGTGCAAAGTAGGCAATTTTTGTCGATTTGTGAACATTGGTGGATAATATGTGAACTTTTGAACATGCCGACATGAACTTATTTAAATTTCATCTGGCAGCACTGTTTCCTTTTCAACTGCTTTCTCTTGCTTCGATCTGGCAAAAAGAAGTCTTTTGAAATAGATAGATAGATAGATAGATAATTATATTTTAACACGCTTACCATTGTCAACATACAAGTTGATTTCCACATGGGGCGTGTGCAAAAATGAAAATTACAATACAATAGTGAACTACTTACATTTTACGATACACAAGACACTAAAATGTACATTAAATGAAGTATAGCTAGGTTAGAAAGATATTTACAATTAATTGAGTACATATTTGTTTTGGGAAAGTGGGAAGCGATTTTTCTTTGAAAGGTCGCTAGAGAACTAATATCTTTAAGTTCATTTGGCAATGAGTTCCAGTCTTGATCTGTTCCAATCCAAGGAAACAGCAAAACGTTTTCGTTATTTTATGAAATTCTTGTGAAACTGAAACACTTTTTTCATAATTGAGTCGATATAAGCGGTTTTACGTCCCGGAGTCTTTAAAAATCGGCGATTAAAACTTGTCGATTTTGATTGTTTTGTAAGTATTCGTAAGTCTTTACGCAGAGACTGCTATTATTACATGTTATATTTCTCATTTGATCTTCCTAGTATTTGATGATTTGGTTATTTTCTTTAAATTTCCAGACTCGAGGTTGGAAGCTACAGTGGATACAAAATCTACCCAGGTCATGGGAAAAGATATATACGTCTAGATGGAAAGGTACGTAAGTTTACAATGTTCAACTTAGAAAAACTGCTTAATTTGTCCCTTTGTCGATATATATTTATTTTTAAAACACACTTTGAAAACTTAATTGTAAAATCACATCTATATTATTTTGCCATAACCAATAATGTTTTATATATCAATTTAATAGTCTTTCAATTTCCTGGACAAAAAATGTGAGAGATCCTTCTTGATGAGAAGAAATCCACGAAAGATTTCATGGACTGTCCTTTACCGTAGAAAACACAAAAAGGGCTCAGTTGAAGAGGTCTCGAAAAAGAGAACGAGACGAAATGTTAAATTCCAACGAGCCATCCAGGGTGCAACTCTTGACGCTATTTTGGCCAAACGCAATCAGAAGCCTGAAGTAAGAAAAGCACAAAGAGAGCAGGCAATAAGGTATTAAACACAACTGTCTGGTGTCTGTAATAGGGAGCTTTAGCAATGGTACGACAACGAGTACAAAGTTTGATCGTGTAAGAGAATGGCACGAGGAAGTTTGTTGAGGTTGTTGCTTCGTCAAAATTTTGTTTTATGTTGTAAACAATGGAACGAGCCTTTTTATTGTGTAAAACACCGAAGTTTGCGAAGCAGCTACGGCTCTATTTGTCAATAATGATATCAACGAATCGGTAATACTGATTTTGCGAGAATATAGGACTCTTTAGACTGAAAAATCTTCACTACTTTAAGTTTTATGTACGATATATTTGTACTATTTTATTGTTTGTTTACCTTTCACTTTGCGTACGAAATACATGAAAGTTTTGCAGGTCATATTTTCGTTTTTAATGAACATATGCACTCAAAAAGGGTTCTAAATTAAAGCCTGGATGCTCGAAAATAGTACTGTAAACTAATTTCTTACAGAATGAAGACATATACCTACTTTCTTTGCTTAAAGAGACATCGTAGTTGCGACTACAAATTTTTTACAAAACATCGTACTCAGGTTGATGACGGCTACATGTTGTTGTTGTTGCGACAATGTTTTCGCACCAAAATGACGTTATTCATACTCATAGTTGTACTTGTAGTCGTACTCATAGTCTTTGCTAAAGCTCCCTAATATCTAAAAAATTACATCTTTCATTCTTGACTAGAAGATTTTTGATTTTGTTTCTCAGTGAAGATTCTATTTTACCTACATTGTATGAGTTACAACTGTGAGAAAATGAATTATAATCAGAGAGAAACATTGAAAATGTTGGCAAAGTTAAACTGAATCAGATTTTGAGAAAATTGATCATTTTGATGATTTAAAAACATTTAGAGCTGCTAAAGATAAAATCAGGCAAAAGAAGGATGCTAAAAAGATGACAAAGGTATGTAAAAGCTATAACAATTACTCAACTATTATAAAGTATACTAGCTGGGCTTTCTCAGTGCAATTTGCTGTTGATAAACTGCTTTGAACAAAAATTTTGTCTTCAAACATTAAATTAATATTTATTAAAAACTTTGACTGTTTGTTTGTGTGTGGGCTAATTGTATGACAAACTTTTCATGACTAACTTTGGGCAAAATTATGACACATATTGTGAATTTAATTCCCACACAAGCGAGTGATAAATTTCTTCATGAAGTTCAGTATTTATCATAAGTTTTCAATGATTCTATGAATCGTTGTCACTTTATATTGTGTATCATAAAATAGAAACAGTTTAACATATGCAGTTAGTCTATAGCTGTGTTTGCAAACCATTCAAAGCTCAACCAATTAAAATCAATCAATCAATCAAAGAGAATTTGCAAATCAATCATGAATACATTTAGAGGAGGAATTAAAACTTTTGTTTAAATTTGTCTGTTTGCATTATTGTTATTTTATAAAAGAAATAAAAGATGTTTTTTCATGTTTGCACTGGCGTATGCAAACCTCAGAGACATTTATGAGAACTCCCAAGCATGTGCAACCCTTGACATTTGGTCTTGTGCTTGCAATGATCTGATCTTAATTTCTTGTAAGTTCTCCTTGGTTTGCATTCACTCGTGGAAAACAGTAAACATCTTTTATTTACTTCTTACATGAAGTAAACCATTCTTACTAAGATATCTCAATAACACTCATCATTTATTCAAGGCCGCACAACAACCAGTGAAGACAAAAGCTCCAACAAAACAAAAAGGTGGAAGAAGTACAGGTCGTGTTGGTGGAAAACGTTGAATGTAAATTATCGTGCATTTCACTATAATAAATTGTCATGGTTTAATGGTATTTGCATTTTTTTAGTTTTATGTTTTAATTCATGCTTCATTGTTCAATGTTGTGTAATCTGGTTGTGAATTAAGGATTAAAATTTGAATCACGATTTCAGATGTGGAACATAACCTCCCTCTACCCTCGTAATCCCCACCTAAACCTTCCCCTACCCCATATCTGCCGAACAAATCAATCTGATCAAATCTTCACTTGTTTCATACAAGGCTGGTACCACTTAAACTAAACATTTAACTTGTAAACTGATCAAATCTTCACTTGTTTCATACAAGGCTGGTACCACTTAAACTAAACATTTAACTTGTAGACTGATCAAATCTTCACTTGTTTCATACAATGCTGCTACCACTTAAACTAAACATTTAACTTGTAAACTGATCAAATCTTCACTTGTTTCATACAAGGCTGGTACCACTAAAACTAAACATTTAACTTGTAGACTGATCAAATCTTCACTTGTTTCATACAAGGCTGGTACCATTAAAACTAAGCATTTAACTTGTAGACTGATCAAATCTTCACTAGTTTCATACAAGGCTGGTACCACTAAAACTAAGCATTTAACTTGTAAACTGATCAAATCTTCACTTGTTTCATACAAGGCTGGTACCACTAAACTAAACATTTAACTTGTTGACTGATCAAATCTTCACTTGTTTCATACAAGGCTGGTACCACTAAAACTAAACATTTAACTTGTAGAATGATCAAATCTTCACTTGTTTCATACATGGCTGGTACCACTAAAACTAAACATTTAACTTGTAGACTGATCAAATCTTCACTTGTTTCATACATGGCTGGTACCACTAAAACTAAACATTTAACTTGTAGACTGATCAAATCTTCACTTGTTTCATAAATGGCTGGTACCACTAAAACTAAACATTTAACTTGTAGAATGATCAAATCTTCACTTGTTTCATACATGGCTGGTACCACTAAAACTAAACATTTAACTTGTAGACTGATCAAATCTTCACTTGTTTCATACAAGGCTGGTACCACTAAAACTAAACATTTAACTTGTAGACTGATCAAATTCTTCACTTGTTTCATACAAGGTTGGTGCCACTAAAACTAAACATTTAACTTGTAGAATGATCAAATCTTCACTTGTTTCATACATGGCTGGTACCACTAAAACTAAACATTTAACTTGTAGACTGATCAAATCTTCACTTGTTTCATACAAGGCTGGTACCATTAAAACTAAACATTTAACTTGTAGACTGATCAAATCTTCACTTGCTTCATACAAGGCTGCTACCATTAAAACTAAACATTTAACTTGTAGACTGATCAAATCTTCACTTGCTTCATACAAGGCTGGTACCATTAAAACTAAACATTTAACATGTAGACTGATCAAATCTTCACTTGTTTCATACAAGGCTGCTACCATTAAAACTAAACATTTAACTTAAAGAATGTATATTTTCGTTAACAAATGTTGCGTGAAAGCATGAAAATATATTGAAACTCACCCTTTGTATCTACAGGGTGCATGCAAAATGCAACCCATTGAAATCATCAGACGTTTAACATATGCATGATTCAGCCGTAATCAACCTCCAATGAGACATAAACGTAATTGTAACGATAACACGAAAGGATTCAATGATTGGAATTTTCAATGTGCTGTAGTTACAATTCATACGATCTCTTTACGCGTTGTTCCGTTTAGTCAACACGCAAACGACTGCAATTTAGCACAGTAAATACTTAGTAGCGAGAGACTTGCGGAGCGGAAATCGAATTCGTGTAATAAAAATTAATGCCCAACATAAAGTTTTAATTAGAGCCATAGAAACAGACCAAAAACTACAATTTTTAAATAATTTTACTGCACCGCAGAAAGTAAAATCTTTTTAATTCAATAGTTCATGGTAAATTTGTAATATCATCATAAACGTGAGCACGTTATTTTTTGCAACTCTCCATAATCTGAAGGGTTCATTCCAAGTGTAAAGTATAGTGAAGTAAGTTAACTGAATGTAAAATTCTAATTTCGTCGTGGATATGCAATTTGAAAGAGAGAGTGTGTACAGACAGTAGAGAAAGACAAAGATCTGAGTCTTTTGACTGATTTTACGCAATTCATCTTATTCACCTTGAAAGCAAAGAATAGAACCTTGTATAATAAAGTTAGCATAATTAATGTATGTATAAATAGTTAGTATAATTAAGGTATGTATAATGACTAGTTAATAGATGGAAGCTCGTGTAAATAAGAGAGCATATATCAAGTAAAACGCTTCTTTAGTCATCCTGGACTGAATAATATATTACACCTTGGAAGCTCACTAAACATATTTTCTAAAGTTTTTGAATGTCTTGTATATTTTATATCGTTAATACAGCGTCCATTCAAGGCTATCCACATGTACACAGTGCGTATCTATTTTAGCCACAAGTATCACAGGCTTGCATTTTCGCTACAAGTATTTCCGTTATACACCCATTTTCATTTTTGTCATTCAACTTTAAACAATTCAAGTATTCCCGCAGTAATCGATCTGAGTAATTGCTTTCCTCAGGTAACAAACAACGGACTTTCATTGGCAGACCATCATGTTTTATTAATGAAACTCTCTCATTATTTTCTGCCAACACAAATTCTGTAAAGTGTCCATGGTGGTAGCGAATCAAAAGAGGGGTTTTGATACAATCCACCGAGTCTGACAACAATGGCAAGTATATGCCACCAAGGTTCACACCAGCAATTTGGTCATCACAGTCACCACGATAAAAATTGGCACATATTATAAGAATTGGTCTTCGAATAACGTTAGCTAAGGCAAATATATGAATCTCCTCTAGAGAATGGAAGCTGTTATGTGTAGTTGATTTTGCTGTTGTTAGAACTGTATTCTTCCAGTCTTCGTTCCAATACTCGACACCAAAATCCATTGGCGTACCAGCATTTTGATCCTCCAACTGCCTTTCGACTTCCAACTGCCAGCGTTATCGATAAGTGCCTAAAATGAAGTTGAAATAAATAAGAACTTGCTTGTTTGGAGTCGAGTTATCCGGCTAGCCGAGAACTCCCTCAATCGGGTACGGTACCGCTCGCGTATTTGTTGACATAATTTTGCGTATGATGAGCGTATCTTTCTCGTATCATACGTGTATCGTTCTTGTATCATACGTTAATCGTTCTATTTTATAGGCGTATCGTTTTTTTAATCTCTGACAACGGCTGATATAGTCTGTCTGCTTACAGAACAATTGCTCGATGCTAATTCGCGGCTATTTTCAGTGTATTTCTTTCCTTTCTTACTTAATATTAGTAGCTTTTCTTTCTTTGGAATAAGGGGATAAACGTGTCCCCGCAGACATGAGAAAATAGTTTTAACACATGCGTATCTACGTCTGCGATCTCTGATAGTGTCCGTATTGAATAAAAAGTGGTTTCATTCGAAAAAGCATTTTTTTACTGTAAGATACGCGTGTATCGTATTTTACTCGTTTGTGCGCTGAATCTAAAGCCTAGGCCACACTATCGTCCATATCGACGAAAATTGGAACGAAAACTACCGCAACGAAAATTTTGAACGAAAATTTCGTTTTCGTGCAGATTAGAAGAGTTGAATTTTTGACCTTTTTCGTTAACGAAAACGCATGCAATTGGCTAATAATCTAAAACTTTACTACACAAAGACGGCAGGATGGCACGAGGCTTTAATAAATCTGATTTGAGAAATACAATTTGTCGTCACTCGCAAGTATTTTACGAGTCTGTTTTCTTTGCTCGGTTCTCGTAACTCTTTAATCAAATAACTTTTATAGACGATAGTGTGGCCTAGGCTTAAATCTCTAAAATTTACAGAGCACCGCGCTCAAACAATTTATATATTACATATTTCTTTTTGTCACTTGCGTATAAAGTCTATCAAGCGACAGTTGGCTATTCTGTATTTCTCGAGTCGACGAGGAACTTTGTTGTGAATGTGACCGAGTTTACAACGTAGGTTGGTGTTCGATGGTTGAAGTTACAAGATGCACATCCGTATAAGCATGCTATTTATAAACGTACATTCTATTCGTATGAATCGAATCGTGTTTTAATAGAAGGCACTTTTTGTCGCGATGTAATAAACGCCTATCATTCCCTTTCCATATACGTATCATCTCGAATGGTTGTTTGGGGACGAGACAAACCTACTTAACTGCAAGTGATGAAACAGTTACTGATGTCGAAACTATCATGAATTCAGAGTTAGTAGCCATGCTTAACTCTCGATATTGATAAAACTGAATTCATGGTAATTGACTCAAAACAAATGCTAAATAGAAGAAAAGTCTCTAAATTTAACATTAAAGTCGATAAAAAATATAACACAGGTTTCAGAAAGTAAAACATTAGCTTTAAATGTTGACCAAAATTTATCCTGGAAAAGACCTTCTGTTGAATAATAGTGGAATAACATAGAATTCCATACCAGGTATACTACGTATTATACAATTGAGAAACGTGAGCGTTTTTACAAAAAGATGATTCGGCCTAAGTTACTAACTTTTCCTACTTTACAATTCACGTATTAATTTAGCTGCAGTCGAGTTCCTTAGCTGTCACATCTTCGTTAAGAATTTGACAGATTCTTTTTATCAGACAACCACAAAGGAAAATAGGTGTGCTACAAGTTATTTCCATAGTTTATTGCAATCGAAAGCTGCGACGAAACTTTTACCACCACAGTCAACACCCCACACTAAAATTAACGTGTTTATGTTTTGCGTGGGCGATAAGACACGCATGTCATATATTCACCCAAGGCTTAGATAATATGGTTAGAATTTATTTTTGGACGATTACGTTATGAGAATGAGACAGGCATGAGACAAACAATTTCTTTGTTTAGGACATGCCAATTAAAATTACTTTAGCAACATATGGACAATATCAATATATCGTGATATTATTAATATATCGTGATATATATCGTGATATTACTAATATCAATACAGTTCTTTAGATATGAGGATTTGAACCTTACAGAATGACAATATTTCTTGTTCATTGAAACAAAATTTGTTGAAAACTGTTCACACCAACTGTCTATTTACCAACTGTCTATTTACTCCGTATTGAATAAAAAGAGGTTTCATTCGACAAAGCATTTTTTTGCTGTAAGATATGCAGAACGCGTGTATCGTATTTTACTCGTTTGTGCGCTGAATCTAATTGAATTTTTTACCTTTTTCGTCAACGAAAACGCATGCAATTGGCTAATAATCTAAAACTTTACTACACAAAGATGGCAGGATGGCACGAGGTTTTAATAAATCTGATGTGAGAAATACAATTTGTCGACACTCGCAAGTATTTTATGAGTCTGTTTTCTTTGTTCGGTTCTCGTAACTCTTTAATCAAATTGTTAAATTATCCCAGTCGATCACGTCGTTTATTAATTGGGTGAATCTAGTATATTGCTAAATGCTTGCTTTCAACTTCAGAAGGAGTATCTTTTTGCCAGAAGAAGACACCTTTTCTTTTTTGCTAGTTTTGTCACTGCAAAGGCTACTACATAGGCACATCCAACAATAATACCGTTTACGTTTAAGCCGATCTTTGTAAACATGCTTGCAATTTTACGTCGTGTCTGGCATGTATTTCGTGCACGAATCTTCGTTTGGTTTTCGTTTTCGTGAATATAGACGATAGTGTGGCCTGGGCTTAAATCTCTAAAATTTACAGAGCACCGCGCTCAAACGATTTATATATTACATATTTCTTTTTCTCACTTGCGTATAAAGTCTATCTAGCGACAGTTGGTTATTCTGTATTTTTCGAGTCGACGAGGAGCTTTGTTGTGAATTTGACCGAGTTTACCACGTGGGTTGGTGTTCGATGGTTTTTGTTAAAAGATGCACATCCTTATAAGCATGTTATTTATAAACGTACATTCGATTCCTATGAATCGAATCGTGTTTTAATAGAAGGCACGTTTCGTCGCGATGTAATAAACGCCTATCATTCCCTTTCCATATACGTATCATCTCGAATGATTGTTTGGGGACGAGACAAACCTACTTAACTGCAAGTGATGAAACAGTTACTGATGTTGAAACTATCAGAATTCAGAGTTAGTAGCCATGCTTAACTCTCGATGTTGATTAAACTGAATTCATGGTTATCGACTCAAAACTAATGCTAAATAGAAGAAAAGTCTCTAAATTTAACATTAAAGTCGATAAAAAATATTACACAGGTTTCAGAAAGTAAAACATTAGCTTTAAATGTTGACCAAAATTTATCCTGGAAAAGACCTTCTGTGGAATAATAGTGGAATAACATAGAATTTCATACCAGGTATACTACGTATCATACAATTGAGAAACGTGAGCGTTTTTACAAAAAGATGATTTGGCCTAAGTTACTAACTTTTCCTACTTTACAATTCACGTATTAATTTAGCTGCAGTCGAGTTCCTTACCTGTCACATCTTCGTTAAGAATTTGACAGATTCTTTTTATCAGACAACCACAAAGGAAAATAGGTCTACTGCAAGTTATTTCCATAGTTTATTGCAATCGAAAGCTGCGACGAAACTTTTACCACCACAATCAACACCCCACACTAAAATTAACGTGTTTATGTTTTGCGTGCGCGATAAGACACGCATGTAAGAGACACGCGTGTCATATATTCACCCAAGGCTTAGATGTTATGGTTAGAATTTATTTTTTTGTTTTACCAAACATGGAACTGTTACTGTATCATTTATCAGCGCATATTTTTTATTTGCATATTTTCTAGAAGCTGGTAATTTACCATTTAATAAAATTTGTTTGTATTTAGTTATTAGGATAATGACTAAGCATTTGAAATGCGTTATGTTTTGCGTGGGCCATGACACAAAGGAATGAGCTACATTTTGTACATACATAAAAGATAAAAGTTTCTCCGGATTTTAAATGATTTTTATTGAGCTTTCGACTCGTTGCTTCGAGCCTTCATCAGAATGAGGATATTTATTTACACGTGCTTTTAGCTTGGAGACGTTTAGAGATTCACCAAACATAAAGACAAAACAACAATTCATGACACAACTGACGCGATCTACATGATACCATGTAAAGACTGTTCAAAGAAATACATAGGACAAACATCTAAGAAAATTGAAACAAGACTCACAGAACACAAAAACGCCATAAAACGACGAGATCTGAACTCACTACCGGCAGAACATACCCACGGAAACAACCACACATTCGACTGGACAGAAACTAAACGACTCGGACGCGCACAGACTAAACACGCACGCGAATTTAAAGAAGCTTGGTACAGTGAAGACAACGACACAATAAACAGACATATCGACATACCCATCATATACTCACAACTAAAGAAAAAGGACAAAAAAACTACAAACAACACCAAAACTAAAACACTACACTCTAATATTATTAACACCAATCATATTAAAGGCTGAAACACACTGGGCAGTCGCTTCAGTCGCGCGTCCAAAGCGAATTGATGCGCACGCGGCAGTCGCTTGAACGCTAGGAACACACATGCAGCGACCATCGCGACTTTTACCGTGGCGTCTATTGAACATGGCGGTGATTTTAGTTTGTTACAGACACAGATATCACTTAAACTTTTTATTTTGGCCTTTATTATAGCTACTAATATATGAATATTTACTCAGTACAGACTACTATGTGGAGAAAAGAGAACAAGCCAGTTAAAACACGCCAATATGATCATAGTCCATTACGCGTATATTGTGGATAATCTTATTCTGTGCACTTAGGTTGTGCATTAGGGTTCCAGTTTGTAGCTCCTATTGTCCCTATTTGATAAGTTATATAAAAACTGAAAGATTCCAGTGTGAATTCACTATATATTGCCTTCGTTTTCCAAGGTATAATCAATAAATTCCGTATGATGCTTATGACAGGGA